TTAGAAATTCGTTGATCTTGTCGTATTAGAGATTCGTTGATCTCGACTTATTAGAGATCCGTTGATCTCGTCGTAGTAGAGATCCGTTGATCTCGTCGTATCAGAAATTCGTCGATCTCGTCGTATTAAAGCTCCATTGATCTCATCGTAATAAACCTAAAGATCCGTTGGTCTCGTCGTATTAGAGATCCGTTGATCTCGTAGTATTGGAGATCCGTTCATCTCATCGTAATGAACTTAGAGATCCGTCAATCTCGTATTAGAGATCCGTCGATCTCATCGTATTAGAAATCCGTTGATCTTGTCTTATTAGAGATCCGTTGATCTCGTCGTAGTAGAGATCCGTTGATCTCGTCGTATTAGAGATCCGTCGATTTAGTCGTAGTAGAGATCCGTTGATAGCATCGTAATGAACTTAGAGATCCGTTGATCTCGTCGTATTAGTGATCCGTCGATCTCATCGCATTAGAGATCTGTTGATTTCATCGTAATGAACTTGATCTTGTATTAGAGATCCATTGATCTCGTCTTATTAGAGATATGTTGATCTCGACGTATTAGAGATCTGTCCATCTCGTCGTATTAGAGATCCGTCGATCTTATCGTAGTAGAGATCCGTTGATCTCATCATAATGAACTTAGAGAACCGTTGATCTCGTTGTATTAGAGATCCGTCGATCTCGTCTTATTAGAGATCCGTTGATCTCATTGTAACGAACTTAGAGATGCGTTGATCTCTTTTCACCTTGGAACGTAATCCATTTTTTTCATAAGATCTGGGGCGACTATCGTTCTCTTACCTGATCTAAAGCCTTCTCGCATATCTTGCATATTGATCGTTGATAAGGACCAATAGTGGCCTTACTTGTGATACGTATAGGACCAATTCACCAAGCCATTTGAATGGCATAGTGGAAGTCAGCGCGATAGATGGAGCCTTTGTGCTTTGCGTACTATGTACCTCTTGCCGGGATTTTACGACATTTAGCAGCTGGATCGTTCATCGGTTGTCCTACCTATGACACACTGATGAGGTCTAATAAGTCCGAAACCGGTCTGTGCCTGGTGGGACCAGCTGATGAACGATCCTAGCTGTTGTACTGGGTGTCGCGGATGTAGTTCAATGCCGGTAGGGGCAAATAGCCCTCGGAGTAGTTGTTTTTCGCGGCACTGACAATTCACCTTCGGTGTAATTCGTGGTTTTTCTTCTCGCTTTGTTGTTTTGTTCTTTCTGTTTCCTCTGATCTTCCGTAATGTGATTTGAGATTCTGTGACGTAGTGAATGTAAATCTAGTCGTTGTTTTTCACAAGGTTTTTAACGAAGATGAAATTCTGTCTGAAAATTCATTAAATATGCCGACACATAAATCTTTTGAGTTAAATTCTACATCACCGACGTTAATATCTTTGGCATAAATGGTATCACCAATTACAGCATCTATGAGACGTTCGTCTGGAATTTCTGTTCCTAAAGCTCAAGAAATTTAGCAAGTTTTTGGAAACAGTATTCCCTAGATTTTGACCGGGACTAGTTTCAGAATTAGCAGCATCTCAGAGTAAATTAGAAAATGGAATTGACTAACGGAATTGATTAGTCATACTCTCCTTTATTTTATTCCAAGAAACATCACATTTTACCTGTTCGTCGTACCACTGCCTAGCATTCCCGTTGCACCCACTTTTCAATCATCATATTATCCTGTCCTGGATCAAACAATGGAATGAGAAGTTCATCTCTCTTTGTGGACGTTGATGGCCTACTGCGTCGTAATTCAACTACTTCTTCTTGCAATTTTTTTTAAAAGCTCTTCAATTCACCATCACTTGCCGAATATGATGAAGATGTACTGCTATTACTCGAAGAACGCCGCATATTGGTACGCTGCTTTTTTCTTTTTTTTTCTTCCCCATATTAGAAATAACAGGTTCACAAACACTAAACACTTTGGGTAACAATCCCACTTCTGAATTTTGTAAGATGTTTTCTAAAAATATACGAGGTGATCCAATAAAAGGTAACTTTAAATAAATATTTAATATATGTACAATATACAGGATGTTTTTGAATGGAGTAGCATAAATGATACCAGTGAATCTACATTTCAAAAGAACACGATCTGCAAAAAATCGCCTTAGTAAAATGTTCACCCCTGAAGAGATATGGGCCATCAAAGTTTCCAAAAAAATTATGAAAATTGGCTGTAATTTGAAAACCGAACGAGGTACAAATAACAACTTTTAAAGGTTGTTTACTAATACAGATGCGCGAGTTTTCAACTATTTTTCGAAAATTTTAACCCCTCGAAAGGGGTTGAAATAACCACCCCTCAAGCCATTTTTTGCCATAACTTTTATATTTCGTAAAAACTCGATATCCAAAAATACGCATTAGATAAACTGGTTCTTTTAGAAACTTTTACCTCTCTAGCAATTTTCCTTTAAAACTTTTCGTTTATTAATAAAAAAATAAAATGTATTACCATTCACCTCACACCGTATATGATTGCAATCAATCAAAGAAAAACTAAGTGTGCTGCTGTCATGCCAGTTGTCACAATTAACTCTTCTGTAAGTTGTCACTGTTATCAGCTAAATACTTTTTGGGTGTAAATTAACAAGAATTATGCCAAATTTTACTAATGATGAATATGTGGACATGCTACAAGTGTATTTTGAATGTCGCAAAAACTGTGCTGCGGCAACAAGAGCGTATAATGAGAGATATCCAAATCGTCAAGTTCCCCACAGACAAACTTTTTCGGCGGTAGAACGAAGACTTCGGGAAACTGGAAAAATACAGCCGCATATTGAGGGTACCGGCCGAAGACCTACTGTTCGTACTATTTATCTTGAGGATGCAGTACTTGAAGAGTTTGACGAAAATCGTCAGACTAGTACGAGAAAAACAGCAATGCACTTAAATGTGTCCCATAGTGTTGTTTGGAATATTGTCCATGATAATTTATTATATCCTTTTCACCACCGGCCAGTTCAAGCTCTACTTGAACCAGACATGCATAAGCGAGTTGTTTTTTGCGAATCGTATCTTAATATTCTAAGAAATAATTTGAATTTTGCCTCAAAGATACTTTTCACAGATGAAGCAACTTTTCAAAGACATGGTTTAACCAATATGCACAATCTTCATTCCTGGGCTCCTGAAAATCCTCACGAAGTATCTATGACAACATTTCAACATAATTTTAGTTTAAACATTTGGGCAGGAATTGTAGGAAATGTGCTTGTCGGCCCTTTTGTTTTACCTCATCGACTTGGTGCTGTTGAATATTTGCAGTTCTTAAATGAGCATCTACCACCACTTCTGGAGGAAGTACCATTAAATGTACGTCAGGCCATGTGGTACATGCATGACGGGGCTCCTGCTCACAGCACTGTAGTAGTTAGGCGGTGGCTTAATTTAAATTACCCGAATCGTTGGATAGGTCGCGGCAATGAGGCACCTATCTCTTGGCCTGCACGTTCTCCCGATCTAACGCCCATGGATTTTTTCTTTTGGGGACATATAAAAAGTATTGTTTATGCGACCCCAGTTGACAGTGTTGAAGAGCTACAGGAAAGAATATTCGCGGCGGCTGATGAGATTCGCAACAATCCCATAATTTTTGCTCGAGTCCGTAACAACTTTGATAAACGTGTTAGGTTGTGTTTAGAAAGAAATGGCAATTATTTTGAAAATGTCCTTTAACTAAGTTTTTTGTTTTTTCTCTTTTTGATAATAAATTATTTCTTAGTTTCGTTTTCATTGTACTTCTATTTAATAAAAGTTTCTGCGACATTCAAACAGTTATTTGTGCAACTACTGTAAAGAGTGTGTATTTGTTGTACGATGCATGAAGTTTGCAGCTCGAGACGAAGTTGAGAGCTGCAATCATGTTAAGTGCAACAAATATGCTTTTTGCACATGTTGCACGCAACATTTTTTCTACGATTGTTTTTATTTCAAATTTTATTTAACAGTATTTTACATAATATTAAAATTTTAACTGACAACTGGAAATTAATTGCGCAAATTGTCAATGTCAGACGTTAGGTACTTATGGATATGCTTAGATTAAACTTGTAATCAATATTTTTTTTGTACTACTGTAAAAAAAGTTAAACTTTTGGCACAGTAGGTAGTGCAATAAGTAGTAAATTTTGCACGATCGTAGAAAAAAACACTTGTAGCATGTCCACATATTCATCATTAGTAAAATTTGGCATAATTCTTGTTAATTTACACCCAAAAAGTATTTAGCTGATAACAGTGACAACTTACAGAAGAGTTAATTGTGACAACTGGCATGACAGCAGCACACTTAGTTTTTCTTTGATTGATTGCAATCATATACGGTGTGAGGTGAATGGTAATACATTTTATTTTTTTATTAATAAACGAAAAGTTTTAAAGGAAAATTGCTAGAGAGGTAAACGTTTCTAAAAGGACCAGTTTATCTAATGCGTATTTTTGGATATCGAGTTTTTACGAAATATAAAAGTTATGGCAAAAATGGCTTGGTTATTTCAACCCCTTTCGAGGGGTTAAAATTTTCGAAAAATAGTTGAAAACTCGCATCTGTATTAGTAAACAACCTGTAAAAAATTTGTTATTTGTACCTCGTTCGGTTTTCAAATTACAGCCAATTTTCATAATTTTTTTGGAAACTTTGATGGCCCATATCTCTTCAGGGGTGAACATTTTACTAAGGCGATTTTTTGCAGATCGTGTTCTTTTGAAATGTAGATTCAGTGGTATTATTTATGCTACTCCATTCAAAAACAACCTGTATATGCTTACGTCTAGCGTTCTGTATTGAATGAATTTCCGTTCTCGATTCCTTAATAACATTGTTAACTAAGACGTGACGAAAGGAGGGGGCGGATAGATTTTTTTACATTATTTTCCCTTATTTTTAACGAGGAGTGAACTTAATTTTTTGCACATATTTATTAACACTCTTTTTATACCATTACTTAAGTGAATTTTACTTTTTTCGTAGGTTTTGAATTAAAGAAGTTACATCCGTGCGAACAAAGTTCTTGTTATCCAGCTACTGGTAACTTATTAATTGGTAGAGAAAGTCAGCTGTACTCATCCTCGACTTGTGGCTTGCACGGGCGACAACGCTATTGCATAGTATCCCATTTGGACGAGGAACGGACGAAATGTTTTTTGTGCGATTCTCGACCATCAGCAAAGCCTAATCCTTTGTACAACCACAATATAAGCAATATCGTTTATAGGATGTATCCTGGGTAAGTCACGTTTTAATAACAAGACAAAATGGAATCTAACGTAAAATTACAGGGTGATTTATTAGAACCCGGCTATATTGTTTTCATCCATAAAATAAACAATATGTTCAGTTCAATAATAAGCATAAGATGATGATGCGCTGTCGAGATCTATTGTGGTCTGCTGCAGCCGACCGTGCTTTGACTGTGATTTACAGTCTTAATTTATAATATGCGTTTTTTTGTAACTATTCGGAAAAGCGTAAAAGCAAAAAGTATTCCAAAAAATAAGGAAGACAGTTTATTAAAGCTTTCGTAAAAAACTTTTTGTTTATACCCTTCAAACGGGTTAATCAATCATTTTCTGAAAGAGTAAATTAGGTATATCACTTGAATATTGTACTCATCGAAATGAAAAAAGTTCCTATTCGTTTCATAGAGGGTGTTCATAAAAGTAACGAATGGTTGCAGCTTACTACTATACACTGCTGTAGATATTATCAACTGTTTCTGCATACACCAAACCAAATTTAAGATAACCTCAAACAAAGTATAGCGGATGCAGTTCTGGCGATCTAGATGTCCATTGGCGCTTTATTGTTGATCTGGATGAAACTTGGGTGGTTAGTTATAGAAATGTTGGCAGAACGAGAATGCCATTGGCGTTGTTCGAGGTGTTCAGTCAGGTAGCAGAATAATTATCAGCGCTACTGGTTTCGTGGATGCACAATTAATTTTTCATTCTCGACTGACAAGTGTCTACAATCACAGGCAAAAAATCAAGATAGTTGGCACATATGAACATTCCTTAGTGGGAATATGCACCCATTTTATTTTTGCCATAATAAAATAAATCATCCGTAATCTTAGGGTCTCGGTCATATATGAAGGTATTTCAAAAATTAACAACAAATTTAATATTTTGATGCATTGTGAAATTATCACATGGATTGTTAACACTAAAATAAAAATATTTATGGAATTTGTCATTTAGTGTATGCATTGGATTACAAAAACTTAAAAATGTATTAGATTCACTGTTCCAAAATGTTATTGTTACTATTAAAATTTTTTTCTTTTTTCATTTAAGTATACCTAAAAGGACATACAATGATACGAGACTATTTGAAAGTTGAAAATTATACATATGTATTTGTGTTAAGAACTTTTTATATCAAATAAAATGTAAAATAACTGTTTATGCAAAATTTTTTCATGAGTGGGAATTTTGATCCATAAATGAAAAAGGTATTTACAAATTATTTTTATGCTATTTTAGACAATCCTACCTAAAATGAAACGAAATAGGGAGATATCTAATTATTGATTATTCCCTTTTATGTATCAACACTGATATTAAACACAAATAAATATTATTTGAATCATATTTAGTTATCTTTCAGATTAAATTCATGTACACTTATAATAATTTAGCTTTATAACTTATTTTGGTGATATCTCAAAACGACTGTCATGATTAGAGCTGTCACAATCGGTCCGCTAGCTATTGGCACCCTCAGTCAGCCACGCGAGCTGCCTAGCTGCGGTTCGCTGATTTCCCTGTAATCAAATGATTTCTTTTACGATTTTAATTCTCATTTTATGCATGATTGTGTCTAATTATGTCGAGCGTGCTAAAAAACAATTCATACTATACTGACTAAAAAAATTACCTATAAGTAACTATAAAATTATTAACATATAAAAACTATTTAGGTGGAAAACAAAACAGAGATATATTTTTTAGAATAGAAAAGAATCTTATGAAAGTAAAGGAAAATAATGAGTTCTAAAAATACCTATTTAAGCTGCTCCCTTCGTTTAAATGTTTGATTTTGTTTATAAAATTAATAAAAAAAGCAAGGAGTAATAAATTATGTACTCAGGTCAGCATCACAGCGTTATCAGTAGTAAATTTGTCCAACAAAGCGGCACTCAACACCTTATTTCAAGTGCATGTGGTCATAAGGTATATTATTTAATTATACAAATATTACATCAGTAGATGTCGAACGGTCGTTCTCTTAAGATTAAGATATTTTATCACCGCCGCGAATAAGTTTCGCCGAAACAAGGGTAGTAATATACTTGATGATGCGATCTATAACGGATCCCATTCAGAATGTGGGACCGATGGTAACGATGTGTAAAACAATTTATATGTTTCACAATGATACAATGACATAAATCTTATAATTTCATTGTTCATTGTTTACTTTATTTTATGTTGATGTTCCGCGTGCCTTTCGTGCGCTGCCAATTTTGACAGCTCTAGTCATGAGTAATCATGAAACCCACATGGTTTTGTTGACCCATTAAAATTTTTATCACTTTACATTGCCAGAACACCAAAAAGGGAGATGTTTAATGATATCTAATAATTTTAAATACTGGCGTGTGCAAATGTTGAATCAGAAGGCGAAATTGAAAATTACAATAAATGTTCAAAGTTGTTTCCGTTTTGCTACCTCACGTTGTGGAACCCAATTAAATGTACACTTCATCGACTATGAACTTTTATTAGAGAAATTTTTGATGAAACGGGATTAGCTATAACCCTTTAAAATTAAAACCCTACTTTCAAAACTCCTTGTATAAGCTATTTATTTTTCGCACTATTGTACAATATTTGCGCACTAGGACGAAAAAATAATATATCTTTATAAGCCGTATTCAGCCTATGTATAGTTAGTTTTTTACTCACGCCATGCTCTTTTCCAGAACTCGGCAGAAATCTTGGTGGCAATCTGAAAATGGCAAAGAAAAAGTGTACATACAGCTCGACCTTGAGGCTGAATTTCATTTCACTCACTTAATCATTACTTTCAAAACTTTTCGACCAGCTGCTATGTTAATAGAAAGATCGTATGATTTTAACCAAACCTGGCAGGTAATTCAAAAAGTCAAAAAGTTGAACAACGAAATGTAAGTGTATGAATTTCAGGTTTATAGGTATTTCGCTCACAACTGCACAGAAAGTTTCCCCGGGATTAGAGAAGGCACTGCAAGAAATTTAAGTGATATCGTTTGTGAATCAAGGTATTCAGGTGTAGCACCGTCAACTGACGGCGAAATTATCTACAGAGTGTTACCTCCAAATGTACCCATTGATAACCCATATTCTGAACAAGTTCAAGGCTTGTTGAAAATCACCAATCTGAGAATTAACTTCACCAAGTTGCACACCCTTGGAGATGACCTTTTGGACAGGCGCGAAGAAATACAAGTAAGTTCGACAATTCGACAAATTCGACTATTTTTAGGGTTTCTCCTATTTCTCTGAAGGATAGAAGAAAAATTAGATGCCACGGGCTCGATTTTCGAAAGAAGTTGATTAGCTAAAACAGCACGTGGATACATTAACTCGTTTAAGAAATAGAAGGCGCTTTTCAATTTTGAACATTTTCTATGATGCTTTATAGCTATTTTGTTTTTTTTTATTTGTGAAAATATTTGATTTTTGTAAAGAGTTTTTACAGAGCTTACGTAGAATCCAGTGGCGTACGCTATACTTTTCCATAACTTCCAGTTTTTCAGTTATAAGAAACATGTTTTTAAAAAACGATACCATATACAGGGTGGTGCAACCAAGATGGGGTGGAAGATTACACCTGAACGACGAGGAATTATGAAATAATTTTTTGTCACGAGGTGCATAGTTAAGAGATCCATATTCTAAAAATATTTTCATTATACNGATCCGTTGATCTCATTGTAACGAACTTAGAGATGCGTTGATCTCTTTTCACCTTGGAACGTAATCCATTTTTTTCATAAGATCTGGGGCGACTATCGTTCTCTTACCTGATCTAAAGCCTTCTCGCATATCTTGCATATTGATCGTTGATAAGGACCAATAGTGGCCTTACTTGTGATACGTATAGGACCAATTCACCAAGCCATTTGAATGGCATAGTGGAAGTCAGCGCGATAGATGGAGCCTTTGTGCTTTGCGTACTATGTACCTCTTGCCGGGATTTTACGACATTTAGCAGCTGGATCGTTCATCGGTTGTCCTACCTATGACACACTGATGAGGTCTAATAAGTCCGAAACCGGTCTGTGCCTGGTGGGACCAGCTGATGAACGATCCTAGCTGTTGTACTGGGTGTCGCGGATGTAGTTCAATGCCGGTAGGGGCAAATAGCCCTCGGAGTAGTTGTTTTTCGCGGCACTGACAATTCACCTTCGGTGTAATTCGTGGTTTTTCTTCTCGCTTTGTTGTTTTGTTCTTTCTGTTTCCTCTGATCTTCCGTAATGTGATTTGAGATTCTGTGACGTAGTGAATGTAAATCTAGTCGTTGTTTTTCACAAGGTTTTTAACGAAGATGAAATTCTGTCTGAAAATTCATTAAATATGCCGACACATAAATCTTTTGAGTTAAATTCTACATCACCGACGTTAATATCTTTGGCATAAATGGTATCACCAATTACAGCATCTATGAGACATTCGTCTGGAATTTCTGTTCCTAAAGCTCAAGAAATTTAGCAAGTTTTTGGAACCAGTATTCCCTTAGATTTTGACCGGGACTAGTTTCAGAATTAGCAGCATCTCGGAGTAAATTAGAAAATGGAATGGACTAACGGAATTGATTAGTCATACTCTCCTTTATTTTATTNTGAAACAAGGGTAGTAATATACTTGATGATGCGATCTATAACGGATCCCATTCAGAATGTGGGACCGATGGTAACGATGTGTAAAACAATTTATATGTTTCACAATGATACAATGACATAAATCTTATAATTTCATTGTTCATTGTTTACTTTATTTTATGTTGATGTTCCGCGTGCCTTTCGTGCGCTGCCAATTTTGACAGCTCTAGTCATGAGTAATCATGAAACCCACATGGTTTTGTTGACCCATTAAAATTTTTATCACTTTACATTGCCAGAACACCAAAAAGGGAGATGTTTAATGATATCTAATAATTTTAAATACTGGCGTGTGCAAATGTTGAATCAGAAGGCGAAATTGAAAATTACAATAAATGTTCAAAGTTGTTTCCGTTTTGCTACCTCACGTTGTGGAACCCAATTAAATGTACACTTCATCGACTATGAACTTTTATTAGAGAAATTTTTGATGAAACGGGATTAGCTATAACCCTTTAAAATTAAAACCCTACTTTCAAAACTCCTTGTATAAGCTATTTATTTTTCGCACTATTGTACAATATTTGCGCACTAGGACGAAAAAATAATATATCTTTATAAGCCGTATTCAGCCTATGTATAGTTAGTTTTTTACTCACGCCATGCTCTTTTCCAGAACTCGGCAGAAATCTTGGTGGCAATCTGAAAATGGCAAAGAAAAAGTGTACATACAGCTCGACCTTGAGGCTGAATTTCATTTCACTCACTTAATCATTACTTTCAAAACTTTTCGACCAGCTGCTATGTTAATAGAAAGATCGTATGATTTTAACCAAACCTGGCAGGTAATTCAAAAAGTCAAAAAGTTGAACAACGAAATGTAAGTGTATGAATTTCAGGTTTATAGGTATTTCGCTCACAACTGCACAGAAAGTTTCCCCGGGATTAGAGAAGGCACTGCAAGAAATTTAAGTGATATCGTTTGTGAATCAAGGTATTCAGGTGTAGCACCGTCAACTGACGGCGAAATTATCTACAGAGTGTTACCTCCAAATGTACCCATTGATAACCCATATTCTGAACAAGTTCAAGGCTTGTTGAAAATCACCAATCTGAGAATTAACTTCACCAAGTTGCACACCCTTGGAGATGACCTTTTGGACAGGCGCGAAGAAATACAAGTAAGTTCGACAATTCGACAAATTCGACTATTTTTAGGGTTTCTCCTATTTCTCTGAAGGATAGAAGAAAAATTAGATGCCACGGGCTCGATTTTCGAAAGAAGTTGATTAGCTAAAACAGCACGTGGATACATTAACTCGTTTAAGAAATAGAAGGCGCTTTTCAATTTTGAACATTTTCTATGATGCTTTATAGCTATTTTGTTTTTTTTTATTTGTGAAAATATTTGATTTTTGTAAAGAGTTTTTACAGAGCTTACGTAGAATCCAGTGGCGTACGCTATACTTTTCCATAACTTCCAGTTTTTCAGTTATAAGAAACATGTTTTTAAAAAACGATACCATATACAGGGTGGTGCAACCAAGATGGGGTGGAAGATTACACCTGAACGACGAGGAATTATGAAATAATTTTTTGTCACGAGGTGCATAGTTAAGAGATCCATATTCTAAAAATATTTTCATTATACAGGGTGCACACAAAAGTCCGTGGCAAACCAAACATATGTTTTTTTAAATGGAACATCCTGTATTTAAATCCTAAAATGAATTCTACCCATTACTACGATGTTTTTGATATAATGGTTGATGAGTCTAAAGTTTATAGTTTTAGAGACAATGGCGCTTAAACTTGAAAAACTACCAAATCAATCAAATTCTTCCCCCATCTAAAAGGGTTGTCAAAAAACAAAACCTAGTACAAAATGTACCATATCCTTGGGTATAATAATGAAACTTGACTGGTTCAAAAATCACTGACTAGTGTACAGGGTGATGGAGCTTGACTATTTCACTCGAAAGTCAATTTTTTTAAATGGAACACCCTAAATTTTATTTGCCCATGTTAAAGGCAATAAAACCAGCTTTCAAAAAATATGGCACATGATGATACCCTTCAATAAAATACTTTCTTAGAAAATCATCGGAAAACTTTGATTTTTCAAAGAACGACTGAAACGAACTGTGAAATAACGACCAAAACTTCAACATTTACTAAGAGGGCTATGATGTCAGTAAACTGTAGCTTCTCATTCTTTATTGAACTGATTTTAAAAGAAAGGAAGGGTTACATTCATCAGGCCGCCATTTTGTTGAAGACATATTTCAAGCCGATGTATGAAGGAACGTTCAACATTTCGCAAGGTCTGCTCTGTAATTTGACGGAAACATTGTTGAATCTGTATTTTCATATAATCTGCCGTTGTTAGAGGCATTCTATATACTTGTTCTGAGACATATCCCCACAAAAAGAAGTCCATCGGCGTCAGATCAGGGGATTTGGCCGGCCACACAATCGGACCACCACGGCCAATCCACCGATTTCTCTTCCAGTTGTTTAAATAATTTCGTACATTTATGTGAAAATGTGGCGGGGCCCGTCATGTTGAAACCAGAAAGAATTTCTTAGTGCTAAATTTAAATTTTCTAAAAGCAGCGGCAATTCATTTTCTAAAAAATTTAAATAGATTTCACCAGTAAGATGATCCTCGAAAAAATAAAGTACGTGAGTACCACTTTGGTGATCAATTTGGCGAACCCAGTGAGGGTTTTCTACTGAATAAAAGTGCATATTATGGCGATTAATCACACCATTACTTTTAAAAGTTGCTTCATCGGAAAACAGCACTTTATCTATAAAATTGGGATCATCCCTAATCCTGTTTAACATCAAAATAGAAAAGTTTTCCCTGCTGTTAAAATCCCGATCATAAAGTTGCTGATGTAATTCCATGTGATACACGTGACATTTATGCTGTTTCAAAATTCTCTTGACGCTAGTGCGGTCTTATTTTCTTCATTTGTTACTGGTTTTTTAACTATTGTACGTTTTTTTAATGCAACACTTCCTGTCTCTTCAAATCGGTTCAATAATGAGCGAAAAGCTTCAGGCCTTTGTTTTTTCTCGTGTTCCGGATATCGTGCCGCATACACTACTAGCTAATAACGGATTTCTTTGACATTCGTATAGAACTGATATCATATTAATCATTTCTTGTGTACTCATTTTGAAAACCTACTTTTACAGAACTGTCAACTACTTGATTGTCCAAGACAAAATGTGTTACAATCGTCATAGCCCTCTTACTAAATGTTGAAGTTTTGGTCGTTATTTCATAGTTTGTTTCAGTCGTTCTTTGAAAAATCAAAGTTTTCCGATGATTTTCTAAGAAAGTATTTTGAAAGCTGGTTTTATTGCCTTTAACATGGACAAATAAAATTTAGGGTGTTCCATTTAAAAAAATTTACTTTCGAGTGAAATAGTCAAGCTCCATCACCCTGTATACCAGTCAGTGATTTTTGAACCAGTCAAGTTTCATTATTATACCCAAGGATATGCTACATTTTGTACTAGGTTTTGTTTTTTGACAACCTTTTTAGATGGGGGAGGAATTTGATTGATTTGGGGGTAATTTTTCAAGTTTAAGCGACATTGTCTCTAAAACTATAAACTTTAGACTCATCAACCATCATATCAAAAACATCGTAGTAATGGGTAAAATTAGGATTCATTTTAGGATTCAAATACAGGGTGTTCCATTTAAAAAAACATATGTTTGGTTTGCCACGGACTTTTGTGTGCACCCTGTATAATGAAAATATGTTTAGAATATGCATCTCTTAACTATGCACCTCGTGACAAAAAATTATTTCATAATTCCTCGTCGTTCAGGCGTAATCTTCCACCCCATCTTGGTTGCACCACCCTGTATGTATATATTTTTTGATTTTTCAACTATTCCTTGATACAATTTAGTGTACCGTTATTTTTTTTATTTGTTCATTAGTACATCAAATATATCCATGACACTTAATTGTGTCAAATTCATTGAAAGAAATATAATTCGAAAGGAAATTTTACATATATTTCAGAGACCGAAAATGTTAGGGCGGGTGCAATGTAAAACAGTGTAAAACATTACGTTTTAAATTGAAAAAAAAAATTTATACATAAAGGTTTAAACAAATTTAAAGTCGTCCCTAGTGCAGCAGCCAGCTGTACCTTTGATATCGCCGAGCCCCGCGGTGCAAAAGCGCTGATGGCGGTTTTGACGGTTTAAATTTTGTTTTCGAAAATGCTGAAATTAATTCAAATCTCGTTTAAAAGTGACACGAAAAAAACACGGAAGGTTCAGATCTGCTGGCCAACGTACAAGGCCATTTCTTCCTTCCACCTTTCCGGAAAGTTGCTATGTGAAAATTCACAAACTACACGAGAAACATGGGAAGGGGCAACATCATGCATGAAGAACAGTTGGGTACGGATTTGTAAAGGGACGTCTTCCAACCAATCCGGTAAGGAGTTTATTAAAAACTCAAATAAGCAGCACCATTTAAACGTGCAGGTAACACTCACACCAATACTGAAAATTTAGTATGCCGCCTCTAGTAAAACAACATTCATCCGTAAAAAACACCTTGCTTATTTGATGTCGAAACCACTGGCAAAATTCCACATGGGGCTGAAAATCATTGTTATTTAATGCTTGAACCCTTTATACATGATAGAGGTGTAATAATTGTTCCTGTAATACACGCCACACGTTACTGTTAGATACATCCACTTCTCGGCTAATGTCGCGAGTACTCTGCCTCGGATCTTCCTCAACGAGGTTTATGACGTTTTCTTCGTTATCGAAAACATGTTGCGGCCTTTCACATATATCAGGTGGACATTCTCAATATCTCGTAACCTTTAAACTGCCTTTTGCACTGTTCTACTGCTAGGTTGTGGTCTGTTACGGTAACGGACCGCATACAAACGACCAACCTCATTTAAATTGTACTGATATTATCCATACATTAACACCATATCTGCTAGTTCTTGATCAGAAAACACTTTATACGTCGGTTAAGAAATACTACAACACACAACTAAAGAACAGAAGACAGAAGCCTACTGACCGACCATCAGATTTGCTTAATTGTGGATATACCGTGTAACGTCAACCAATTAGAGAAGCGTTTCACGCATGTAGCGCGTCCGAAGCATTCTTGCCGTACACGTGCACAAGATGCACAGGTCGGCTTACATTTCTGGTTAATTTTTAAATTCATTTTTTCAAAACAGAAACATTCAGACTATCAGTTGCTTAATAAAAGTTGTTGATTTTCGTGCCCTCTATCACCCTTTTCAAGGACGCACTTATTTCAGAAACACCCTGTATATATATAAGTATTTGCATAATAGTGTGTAACAAAAAGGGGCAGTGTCAATTTTTCTACATTAATCGCTTCACATGGAACCAGAAAATATATGCTAGTGGATTCATATAGATATTAGTCCTTTTCAGCAACTTGGTTAAGGGGGCGGTAAAAGGTAGAAAATCTTGGTACAAATCGGTATTTCTTTTATAGCATCTCGGGTCGATTCTAATGCCATTCTCTCCAACTATATATTTCAGAGTGCGTTGAAAGAATTTGCATTTGGTTTCTCTTAATGGAGGAATGTAAGCCAAAAAACATGACTGTAAACTGGAATCCTCTGTTAGGAATGGTAAAAGCGGGGTTAACGGTCAGCTTTCGGGTGCTAACGGAATTTGCCAATACGATTATATCAAGTCGATACTAGAGAAACATTTTTCTGCGACATCTACCGAAAAGCTACACGAGCTACAGAATGTTTACGGCTAGCATCTTGTTTAAACCATCGATGGTTTTCTCCATTGCTGGATTTCTTGGGCGGTACCCAAGAGTCGGATCCAACAAGCGGATAACTACCTATCACAACTCCATATGCGGCCAGGAAGTCCATTCCCAAGACTATATCTACAGCTTGAACTTCTTGTTTTGCTGGCGTCAGCGAATTACAATAATCTACCACATCGGAGCATAGGCAAGAATTTACTGATCCGTATCTACCAAAACGGAAAACGTTCGGTGATAAACGTCTATATGTCGGAAACGGTTATTGGACTAGTTAATCGCGTTAGTACTAGTTGGGCTAGGCTGTGATTTGGAGACTTCTACTTGTTACGAACTGGCGTTGCTTTGTGGGGTGGCAGCCCTGACGGAGTTCTTCTTCATCGCTTGCCTCGAGTTGGTGCAGCCTGAATTCCCTTGCGTCCACAGTGAGAAGAGAATAAACGATACGGTCCTCGGCACGTAACCCCCCTATGTCCGGTGGCTCCGCAGTTTCAGCAGATCGGACAAAAAGACTCGAATCGGACAAAAAAACCGCGCCTTTTACGGCCACAAATATTCACCACTTTTTATCAGTATGTAACTCTGACGATTCCAGATGTTCCAAAAAGTTTTAACAATTTTGATTATTAATAAATTTAATGGCCGTTTTTTAATTTCAACGATTTTGATTCCTGGGAAACATTTTAGAAACCATTTATTTGTGTGTTATGAAAATTAGCAAACTACATCCTTTATTCATCAGAATTACTAATATATTGGTTTCTTGTAGGAAAAATATTATTACGCCATTACCGACATGGTTGTCCGCGGGTCGTGCTCATGCTACGGACACGCTAACCGTTGTTTGCCTTTGCCAGGAATCGATCCAAAACCTGACATGGTACACGGAAGATGCGAGTGCACTCATAACACAAAAGGAAGAAACTGTGAGAAATGCGAAGACTTTTTCAACGATTTACCCTGGAGACCTGCCATTGGAAAACAAACAAACGCATGCAAAAGTAAATGTTCGACTAACTTTAATATTTCTTTTGAATGATTTGGTTTCAGGATGTAACTGTAACAACCATGCTACGAGCTGTCATTTCGACGCTGCCTTGTACGAAGCGACAGGGCGTATAAGTGGAGGAGTTTGTGACGGATGCTTACATAACACTATGGGGCCAAATTGTGATCAGTGCAAACCTTTCTATTATAAAGATCCTCAAAGAGATATTCAAGATCCCGAGGTTTGCAGACGTAAGTAAAGTGTGCGAATTCACTCTTAAAGGCACATTCCTACGCAGCTCAGTTTTTCCTTGCTCTTTGTTATACGAAAAAATAAAAAAAGAATGTTTAAATATTTCTTATACGATTTTAGTAATTATTTACTATAGCGTAAAAATTTCAATCCTCGCGAAATCTTGCTTGCCTCCTTATTTTCGATTGTGCTGAACACGAATTAGTTTTGTGTGGGCGAGCCTAAATTTCGACGAAACAATTTTTCAAAATTCTAACCTGTATACTTGACACTCAGCATTACTGTTTACAACACTGTATATCTTTTAAAAGCCATGTTAGTTTTATTTTTTATAGAAAATAATATTTTTTATATATATTTAGTTCTATATTTTGTCTGATGTGTCTGAAATAATGTTGCTAACTGTAGTAAATTTACTTTGTTATTCATTCATGCGAGTCAAGTGATAAAATATAAATGCAAATAAATTTAAAGGGAAAATAAATATGAACTACACTTTCCGTTTTTATACATTATGAGCCCAACTCTTAAAGTAGTATAATCAATCTACTTGAGTTATTTATCACAAAATATCTTGATATATCGATTCAATATAGATATTTATTGCTTACCAGTGTATATAATTTATTTAGTTTGTTACTTATTGCTTTGTCGTTTTTACGAAATTTAAATGTATGTGTCGAATTATTATATATTTTCTTCCGTCGCGTCGCGTCGGGAGATTATTAGATTGAGGATTAGTTCCAGTGATGGCTTAGTGGCCGAAAGCGCTTAGCGAGAATCTTTAATGGGTCTGCTATCAGTAGAAATAAATTTACGGCACTTAATAACTTTATTTCAGGGGATAATAAATAAACAAGAGACGGGGAAATTCTAGGTGTAACGACGCAGTGTTATCATAAATTGATAATGTACTCCAGTCGAATTAGATCATTAAACCTGAAAAATCTGAAAAAATTATTAGTAGACATTTTATTGCACTTTATGGCGGGGAAGGGTATGTAGAATGATAATATCAAAAAAGTACCTCGAAAGAAGTGACTCTAAGTTGGCAAATTTCAAATAAGTTGCAAAATTACCTGTTTTTCTCTTTTTTTACTGTCCATGAAAATCTAGACGTCGCGACATATTAGAAAATGAATTGTTTTATGTTGCAGGCAATTAAATTACCTACAATTTAAGGTACCTGAAGTTACTTTTCACGTATTTGTTAACTGAAAATAAAGGTCGAACACGGAAAAATCAGTTTTCGAAAATTGCACGTTATTATTGCAAAAAGAGATGGATGTTGATGAAATTTATGACTATCAATCCAAAGGCCAACATGTGTGCCAAAGGCCGATTCGATTGAAAGTAAAATTGTTGGTTCAACTGTTTGTTAATTAATTTCGTTCGCTTTTGCAACTAATTGTTTAATTACCAAACATTAATTGTAGAAGTTAATATCATAGATATAGGTTCTAACTGATCCACAGAAACGTATCTAAAAATAAAAATTTCAAAAAGTTGAAATTAAGTTGCCCTTACAACTAACAACGTAGGGCGTGCAAAACAGCGTTATAAACAAATTGTCTCAGGGTCAGGCAAATGCCGCTAGGCAATTCGCTCTTTTTGCATTACATAGAGTTTATTTTTACGGTATTTAAAAAAAAAGAGAAATCCCCTACGCCTATTTGTTTCCAATATAACTTTTTTATATAACGTTAATTGTTAATTAACTATTGGACGTATCGGATCAGGATTTTGGAGACAATTAAACAAAGGGTTAACATTTTTTACATTTATAGTTCATGAAGTAAACGTATTAGCAGCAGTAAAAATTAAGGTTAATGAACTGCCTGCACGCGGGAGAAGGAGCTCCGGACCTACACAAGCGCGTAAACGCCGCCCTCGTTTCACGCGATATTTTTGCCTTTAACATTCCAAATTCGGGTCGATCTCGAGAACCGCTCGATCAATTTTGATGATTTTTTTTATTTTAGGTATCTCGTCCAGACAAGTACAATGCCGTCATAAAATGTATACATTATTGGTATTAATCCGTCGCAAATTAAACATTAAATTTTTATAAATTAAAAATATCCATATAAATTTTACTTGTGACTGCCATAAATATTATTTTTTCTCACATTTCATTTTTTTTGCTTTATTGAAGAATATGTATCTTTTAAAAATAGATAGAGACTGAATTTGAAATTGTGAAGGCAAAAATATTGCGTACCACCGAGGGCGGCGTTCACGAACGTGCGTGAGCCCGGCGTTCCTTCTTCCAGTACAATAAAAAAGTGAAAACACGTAATTTTGCAACTTATTTGCAATTTGTCAACTTAGCGCCAGTTTTTTCGTTACTTTTTTGATATTATCATTCCACATACCCTTCCCCGTCATAAAATGCAATAAAATGTCAACTAAAAATTTTTTCACGTTCAAACTCTAATTCGACTGGAGTAATGGTCGATTTAATGGCAAAGAAACATAAATATTATTTTAAATAAACAAATTTTTCCTTTCAATTTCTAAAAATATGTTTCCCACGAATTATTAGTGAGGATTTGAGTACTATTTAAATTATACAGGCGTAGCTAGGACTTTTGCTTGGGGTAGGCCCAGGGTTGCAGCAAGCTCTATAGAGACCTCTAAAAAAACACGCAATCAACGACTTGCTGCTATATCAAAACCTAAACACTCAATCGTTTGATTCTAAAAAAAAAAAGATGGCGCAGTCAGCGACTTACCGACATGGAAAAGATCATCTTCATGTTTTTTTTTGGGTGGGGGGGCGGTATGGTTGGCACCGGGCTTTCTTTTCTCGAAAGGAGATTCGGCCGCACAAATATAACTAGAGAGGGAAATAAATAATCACATTATTGTAATAATCGTATTATCAGGTTATGAATAATTCAAATATCAGATGACAATTCGAATTACCTATATTTTATTCGGAAGTAGATATGTGAAAAAAGAAACCATTCTGATTATTTATAATTATATCTATAAACTTTCTTAAGTAGGTAACCAAGTCAAGTATTGACAAATGCAATAATTTGTATTCGTAACGTGTCTAAGGTATCCAAATAGTTCGTATTATATTCAACCAAGTATCCAGTATCTGCTGTTAACTGTAATTCGAATTAAGGAAAATAAAAATCGGAATCTTTCAATAATCATATTATCAGATTATTTTTAATTTGAATTAGGATTAATCTATGGTGTGGCCCGGGTCCAGAAGCTCTACGCAGACCCTCTTTAAAAAATAATAAAATAATAATTTCAAAACCTAAACAGGTTTTTGTTTGATTCTAAAACAAGTCACGCAATCAGCAACTTGTCGATATAAACACTTTTTGGTTTGATTCTAAAAAAATATTTAAAATTCATTTTGCCAGATATTGCCGAGGCTCCCCGATCTCGTGAAGCCCAGGGCTACAGCCTCCGTAGCCCTCCCCTTAATTCGGCCCTGCAATTAGCCCGTCACTAAAAATAACTTCGTGTTCAGCAGTGTAGGCAAAATTTGATGCATTTTTTGAGAGTTTTACGGTATAGTCAACAATCACGAATTTTGCAACACAATAACTTTAAGCTAATTTTGTCGTTTACCTTTCAGCTTGTGACTGTGACCCCCACGGGTCTTTAGACGGAGGTATCTGCGACTCCGTAACAGATTCGGTTAACGGCCTCGTAGCTGGCAGCTGCCACTGCAAGACTAACGTCGAAGGGCGTCGCTGCGACATTTGCAAAAATGGTTACTGGAACTTCACAGACGCAAATCCCGACGGTTGTCAAGAGTGTACTTGTCACACTTCCGGGACAATCGACAATCAAGGATGCAATGTATACACGGGAGAATGCACGTGCAAACGGTACGTCATCGGACGGGATTGCAATCAGTGTTTACCTGAATATTGGGGACTTTCCGACAAAAAAGATGGTTGTCAACCCTGCGACTGCGATCCTGGTGGTTCACACGACAATTTCTGCGACGTTATAACTGGTCAGTGCAAGTGTAGAGAGCACATGTCAGGTAGAAGTTGCGACACACCCGAACAACAGTATTTCACTGCCAGTTTAGACTTCTTGGTTTATGAAGCAGAGGCAGCAAGAACATCTGGGCAGGTAGTGATAAGAGAACACTTCCCCGGAAGGATAGATACATGGACAGGCACCGGATTCGTGAAGGCATTTGAGGGAGGTTACCTTGAATTTATAGTGGATGACATTAAGACGTCGATGGATTATGATATTGTTATACGATATGAACCTGTTATGCCTGAAGGTTGGGAGGATGTTACTGTTACCATTCAAAGACCTGAATACGATCAAATCGATCCTAATGGACCATGCGCTTACATGGATCCGAATAATGACGTAAAACAAGTTGGTTTGCCTTCAAATAGCAGAAGTATTATCGTTTATCCCCCTACTTGTCTTGAAGCAGGCAAGACGTACAAAGTTATTATCGAATTTAAAAAATCGAATTTCGATAAAGAAACGCCTACGGCTTCAGTTTTAATTGATTCTATTGTTTTAATACCTAGGATTGAAAGTATACCTTGGTTTTACAATTCCACCCCCGCTGAAAACAGAAGAAGGGAATTTATCTTACATCAGTGTGGAAGCCCTTCGTATTTCACCAAAGGCGCTCAAATTCCAGAAATTTGCAAGAAATATCATGGCAGCATTGGAGCTTACGTATTTAATGGCGCATTCCGTAAGTATATTTTATACAGGGTGAATCTTAATTTTGTACATATATTTTAAACAGCGGTATAGTTTACTGAGTAAAACATAATTTCTTTGGTAAAAAATTGGAAAAAATAAGTTTAACAAAACTTTGGAATATATTCATAAAAAATGTTCCTATCTTCACCAATAGACTATTACTATGTATAGGTTTATTCATACAGGGTATAACTTTAAGTGGCGGTCATATTTTTACAGAGGCTTCCTTTGACCTTTAGAAACATATATCAACAATTTATTTTTTCAAATTCCGTCGTAAAATTTTTTTTATCCTTTTTTCGCAATTTTCTTACCCCGTCGCGCACAAGCGGTGGGATAAGAAAGTAACATAGTTTGAAGCATAGTTTGCATTGCATGTTGCATGAAGCATAGTTTGCATTGTTAACAAGTTTGGAGTAGCACAGAGCATGCACAATTGAGAACTGGGCTGTGCAATGCTCTCAAATTTTTAAAGGAAGTTATTAAAAAGCAAATTTCCGCACCACACGCCGTGAAGTTTGACACGTTAATTTTCTTGAGTAGGTGTTCGCCACGAGCTCTACCGTCCTACAAAAACTAAAGTTTAATTTTTTTAAATAAGATAAAACTATGAAACAGTAGGTATTTAACAAGTAATGTAACAGAAACAAACATGTAACCAAATGAAACAGTGCAGTTTTCGGCCATTCCTGCTTTAATCACGTGCGAGGACAGTCGGCTCTTCCGCGCCTTCAAAGGCAAGGCGCGCCGCAACAGAACAGCTGTTTTTCGACGCTTCATCCACATTAACATAGAAAAAAATATGGTGACTTTCAAATAACAAGTCGTAATAATCTAATAATAATAATACTTTGTAATAATTCTGTTTTGACAAAATTATTTATAATTAGTTCTGATGATTAAAAAAGATAATGTATCCCTGTACCAATATTAGTTAATATTTAATAAGTCATGTAAAAATTATACAATGTAGATTGATTTAAAAACAACTGCTAACGTTTAGAGTGCACCAACACAACTTCACACACAAATTTCGTGTTCCCCGGTTTCCGCCGCTCAGTTGTGGCGTACACAAGAATTAAAATGCATTTTAAAAAACTAATTATAACTCGACTATTTATTCGATTAAAAAAAATAAGTTCAGACTCGTGTTCATGGCAACACGTACTATTACCCCTAAAAAACTGACTCCCACTTAAACTTACACCTTGTATAACATTCTACCCTACTTATCTTTTTATTTTTACATTAAAAATGGTATGGGCCAAAGGTATAGTGATTATCAACATATTTATGTCCACTTGGAATGTTTCTTTGATTTTCATACCAATCTGCGTATAAAATTTTTGCCGCATGTGCACTTTTATTGGACATAACTTAACATATTTATCATTTCACTTATATTTCACTAAAATACGCCATAGCTCACTAATACTACTTAAATACACTTAAAGGTACTTAAAAAAAAGCACCACCGTGAAAATAAATCCACCGCTACAGTGAAATTAGTGGTGTTCAACAAGTTTCATTCAATAGAGTTCTGCTAAAATGTCGGAAACAGAAATTATTATATTAAAAGTGAATTAAAATAAACTTCCATTATTTTACTGAACAGTAACAGTACTAAACATATGCATCGAATAGGCAACTAGCATGCAGATTTTATTTCCTTTAGAACTGTATGTTCATGTAAAATTTTATATTTTATTACGTGATCAAGAATGCATTATGACATCATTTAGTGTAACAGAGAACACAACCTACTTCTGCAATTTCCATGCCGACGAGATGACACCTAATCTAAAGAAACGCGCATACGGTGATTATTGAAGCAAAGTGAATTTTGATTTTTATCGACCTACTATGCTCATACGAGGCAACTGTCCTGTCCTTGTTATCTTGATTCTTAATCGCACTAAATGACGTCATAAATTGGCGAAGTCGCCAAATCCCGCTTAAAACATTTATTTTTTGCCCGAAACTAATAATTAAGTATTAATTAACAACCTCTTAAAGATTTCTAATATTTTCTCTACATACAAGGGGAGACCCACATATAAACGGACGAAATTCGCTGCGTGCGCCGCTCTTGTAGTTCGGTCTTCTCCCGCTAGATGGGTATTACGTAACTCCTCCTAAGAGTCCTGAGTCAGTCAGTAAGTCTGCCAAGCCAAGTGGCGTTGATTGAGATGATTGCAGTGAGCCCCGGAGACAGTTTTCGTGCCACACTATTTCGACCTCTTCGGTTTCTTAAAATGGTTGATATTCGAGAAGCGTGCAGCATTGGAATTTTGTTTTCTGCTTGGCAAAAGTGCGTCAGATGCGGTTGATATGGTATCTATAGCTTATAAAGAACATGTCTTGAAAAAAACTCAAGACATTCAACGCCCAGGTCGATTTTCCACGTTCAGAACTGATCAAAACGTGGAAAAAATGTACGCACTTATGTACAAGGATAGAAGACGTACTATTGATGTATAGTCTTTTCGACCTCAGTTGAAGAACCAAGAGGTTGGCAGTATGTACTAGGTTCTGTCGCTGACGCAGCAACTCGGCATTTAAATATTTGAAAAACTTGTTCCCATATTTAGCCATTTAACATCTACTGATTTATTTTCATTTGTAGCTGATTTACGTACGCCCGATTTTGTAAGATTCCCGAACCATACACAAAAAAAGTTTTCTGTACTTTTCATGCGACATATTATGTTATCCGTAGTATTTTTGCCTCCTGATCACGAATCCAGTGTCAGAATTGAGCTATCAGATCACAGGGATTTCCTAACCTCAAGCAACAGGTCAAAAATAGCAAAAATTCACGAAAAAGTGCTAGGAAATATACAATATTCTTCTTCTTCTTCTATATTCAAATGTTCATTTATATGGTTAAGACCCCGCCAAACATGAATCCGTGGTCAGAATTGACGGTTCTATTTCTAACTTCAAAAAATCGCGTCAACTAAGGTCAGATATCACGAATTTTCAAACAATAACAGATTCGCGCCAAATTTGTAGTATAGAGAGGTTTTCGAGGTCGCCGATCACGGATCCAAACTCAATTTTTCAAAATTCAAGATGGCGGACCAATTAAAAAAATAACAGATTCACGCCAAATTTGGTATACAGAGGTTTTCGGTGTCACTTATCACGAATCCAAGACCAGATTTACAAAATTCGTTTTTAAAAATTGAATCAATTACCTATGTATTTTATTACCTGAGATTTGGCAGAAAACCCGTGAATAGATCTATTACAGAAAAAAGATCAAGATATAGCCGAAAAAAAGTAGGTTAAAACATGATTGGGTTCTCAGGTTATAAAGTGAACAAAAATATTACAAAGTAAATTTCGCAATTCTGACCTGGAATATGCAATCAGCGACCCCGAGTCCCCCGTATACCAAATTTGACGCGAATCTGTTATTTTTTTGAAAATTTGGTCGGCCATATTGAGTTTTGCAAAGTTGACCTCGGATCCGTGATCAGCGACCCCGAAAACCCCCGTATGGCGCAAATGTGTAATTTTTTGAAAATTCGTGATATCTGACCTTAATTGACCCGATTTTTTGAGGTTAGAAAAAGAACCGTCAGGTCTCACCGCGGATTCACGTTTTGTGTTTTTCCTAGCACTTTTTCGTGAATTTTTGCTATTTTTGACCTGTTTTTGAGGTTAGGAAATTCCTGTAATGTGATAGCTCAATTCTGACACCAGATTCCTGAACAAGAGGCGAAAATAATACGGAATGTCGCATGAAAAGTACAGACAGCTTCTTTTTTGTGTGGCTATGTTTTTAACACAACGGTTTCATGAAACTTTTTCACAGCCCTTGAAACTGTTGATTTTGAAATATGGGAATTTCTTTCAGGGAAAGTTGTATTAAAAATATTGCTTGAATCGTGCAGAAATCTGTTCCTGTCTCCAAAACCAACCATCATCAACAACGAAATTCTTTCACGTTCACTTAGTTCACCCATAACTTAAGGTTTGAACATCAATCTTAATAAGTAATGATAATCTGTCACTATTGATTGCATCTGACAGGAATAGATGATTTGATTTCAAAAGAAATTTGCAAAAACGATAAAAAACCCGATTACTTTTTCAGAGCTGTAACAAAAATTATACAGGGTGATTCAGTCATAATGTCATTAATTTTAAGAGCAGATAGAGAAAAATGAGTATAATACGATGGCGTGATTAAAAAAAATAAATGCATATTTAAGCGGAAAAAAAATATTTTCAAATCATTTCAGGCTGTTACTGACCGGCTGACGTCAGCCGGCTACGATATGAACAAAGTGACCTAGATGCAATGTTGCCATATTTATATATTTTCGCACATATAAAGACAATAAATAAACGGTTTGCTCACGTCAGCCAATAATAATTTAAAATACTAATTATTTTTGTATAATTACGCAATCAACATATTAAATTGTTATTGTTGCCCAGCAAGAACCTCGAGGAGGTCTGAGCATGACTTGCCAAAAATCATTTTTTATTAACATCATAGTGATAATTTTTTAATTTGCTGTAAGCCTTCTACTAAAAATTGAAAGTAACGCGGCCCATTCAGATGTTCAGGTAGAAAATGCGGCCCAATTAAACGATCGCCATATACTCCTGCCCATACATTGACACCGAATCTCCTCTGAAAGCTAAACCGACGAGTAGTGTGCGGGTTTTCATCTGACCAAATGTGACTATTATGGCTGCAAAGATATTAGCTCTGTTTCACTTTAAATAAAATTTAATATTGTTACAAGTTAAGTTACAAAACCCCAAGAGTTCAAATAATTTAAATTTCATTTCATAACCATTTCAATTTCATTACAGAAATAATGACATAAAAACCAACACTCACTAGATAAATTATAAAGAGAGGGTGAAATGTATGTAGTATTTAAATATTGACTGTAAGTAATAGAAGATAAAAATACAATCGGACGGAGACAAATAAACAACTCGGTACGTGTTTCCGACCTAGGCTGACCTTCTATATATGGATGGATGCATGGATAAATCGCAGACCCACCAAACCCTATATCATTGTAATCGGTGAAAGTCTGTCTTTCTAAAAATGTTAAAATAAACAGGGCGATCCATTTAAAAAACTGCCGACATCGCCGTATTTCTAAAAATAAAGTAGATGTTGAAATCAAAGTACCTCATTGAAAATAATAAAAATACTACGAAACTTTTGTTAAAGGTATTTTTTTTAACCAAACTTATGGTTCATCCTGCACACAGGTGTTCCGACAAATTTACCCAACCCTGTATTGTACTTAATTTGTCATATTACGTATTTCCGTAAGATTCGATATGTATATTGTTTTACTAATTTTATCTTAGCTTCAAACGCGTAATAGTTATAAACAGTATTTCATTTTAGCTTGCCACTGCGATCCTACCGGTTCCCTCAGTAAACTATGCATCGCCAGTGGCGGATTTTGCAATTGCAAACCAAATGTTGTCGGAAGACGATGCGATCGCTGCGCACCGGGCACTTACGATTTCGGTCCGGAAGGGTGCAAATCTTGCGACTGTAACTCCATTGGATCTTTGGACAACTTCTGTAACGTCACGACAGGGCAATGTAAATGTCGAGCTAACACATACGGTAGAGAATGTGATCAGTGCCGTATAGGATTCTGGAGATTCCCCAACTGTGAACGGTGCGATTGCAACGGACATGCCGATACTTGCGAAGCGAAGACAGGCGTTTGCATTAATTGCAGAGACAACACGCAGGGAGACCACTGTGATTACTGTATCGATAGCTTCTATGGAGATCCTAGAATTAACGTCGACATTCCTTGCCGACCTTGCCCTTGTCCTGGACCCATAGGCTCCAATCATTCCTATGCGGAAAAGTGTACTCTAGACCCAACTACTAAAGACGTTATTTGTGAATGTCAAGAGGGATACGCAGGAGCTAGATGCGATGTTTGCTCGGATAACTACTTTGGAAATCCAGAAATACCTGGAGGAATTTGCCAAGCTTGCGACTGTAACGATAAAATCGATCTACTTGCGCCTGGAAATTGCGATCCGCACTCAGGAAAATGTTTGAAATGTCTCTTTGAAACGACAGGAGATCACTGTGAGATGTGCAGACAAGGATTCTTCAGGTTTTCCGAAGACAGAATGTGTGAAGAGTGTGTGTGTCACATTCTGGGCACAAACAGTTCCGCTGGACCTTGTGATCCATCGAGTGGGCAATGTCACTGTCTACCGAATGTCTCAGGACTGAGATGTGATGAGTGTATACCTAACCATTGGAAAATCGCTAGTGGAGAAGGTTGTGAAGCTTGTGACTGCGATCCACTAGGGTCCCTTAGTCCTCAATGTAACGAGGTAAGAGATATTACAATAATATTTCCACTATGGACGAAATATTCTTTCAGAGAACAAAATCTGGAAATATAATTATCCTGCCTTTGTTGTTAGCAAGAATGTTTTTCTAAATATACTTTTAACACTTTCTGTTCATCACTTTTGGGATTCTGTTTTTAGTGGAAACGTTATTTGCCATTTTGTTTGTGATTTTATGAAAATGTTTCTTTTTCATTCAATTCTAATCCCACCAACAAACGTTTTTCATATTTCCTCCAATAAAATACAGAGTGATTCCCATTTTATCCAAAGAAAATATGGAATGTACAGTGGATCCATGCAAATACTATAGTGTTAAAATAAAATAAAAAAGAGCCCATTCTTATTATTAAATTATTTAAAAATATGGACACTACATGCCACTGGAATTTGGTCGACTGTAATACCTGCTGTAGTACAATATACGCACAGTCAATTGGCATGTACAAAAAGTTTACTCACAAAAACGAAAATAATTTTACAAAGCATTAAATAAGTTATAAATAAAGCTGTCATAATTGGCGCACCAAAGGCGTCATCAACATAAAATAAAGTGAACAATAATTATAAGATTTTTGTAATTGTATCATTGTGAAACACGTAAATTGTTTTGCGCATCGTTGCCATAGGTTCCACAATCTGGATGGGATCCGTTATAGATCGCATCATCAGGTATGTTTGTACCCTTGTTTCAGCGAAACTTATTCGTGGCGGTAATAAAATATCTTAATCTGAAGAGAACGACCGTTCGACATCTACTGATGTAAAGTAATATTTCCATAATTAAATAATCTACTTCGAAGCTGGTCCGACATGGTAATTTCCATTCGGGGTTGTATTTATTCCAATATACATTTAAATGTTTTATTATTTACTTTATCAAGTAGTAGGTTACATGCAATTAGTATAAAGATTAAATCAAACATAAATTGAGTCTTCTCGTTTTCGCCAGTTTTTGTATACGTGTGAGTAGAATAGCTATGCCGATTCTGCTCCACAATTGGTGACTGGAGCAGAATCGGCATAGATTTCAGCCAGCTACGTCACAGCGGCTGACGTCTGCGCGGTAGAGGTTGATAACTATTCGTGTCGACTAGAAGTATCATTTATGTGCGGATCTATCATTAGTCGTATGGTTGATAATTTAAATAAAAGTCAAATACAAAAAGTTTTATCATTTATTTGTTCTTGTTCTTGCTTACTACAATTCTTATACAATGTAAAATGCTACAATACATTATTTGTCATCATAACCTAACCATTTGACAAAAACTTTATTTCCCTTTATTTGAATATGGTATCAAATCAATTAAACCAGCTTATATTAATTCATTCAGACCTTTTATTATGGTTCTACGTCTTCCGAATTTGATTCAAAGGAAAACAATGGATATAAGTATGTTCTAATCGTTATTAATTATTTTTCTAAATTCGTATGGGTAAAACCCTAGTAAGCAAATCAGCGGAAGATGTTACAATTGCACTGAATATGATATTACAACATTTTAAAAAAATTCGGAAAAATCTGCAAACTGACATTGGAAAGGAATCCTATAACGAGAATTTCAAGAAACTGATGAAAAATATAATATTAATCACTACAGTGTTTATAGTACGAAGAAGGCTTCGATTGTGGAACGTTCCATTAGAACTATAAAGAATATGCTTTGGCGTTTTTTTAGTTTAGGAGAAGAATATAAGTGGATACATGTTTTAGATAAAATTGTTGATAGATATAACAACACTGTCCATTCTACAACAAGGATGAAACCAATTAAAGTCAGCATATACTCATTTAAAAATGGCTGGTAAAATAACAAACTTTAAAGTAGGCGAGAATTAGCAAATATAGAGAAGCTTTTAAGAAAGGCTACACACCAAATTGTTCTAGCGAAATATTTATCACTAGCTTTTACCCGCGGCTTCGCTCGCATTGAAGCCATTAAATAAGTATCAGAGATCAAGGGTAAGGGTTAAAATCACGAATTAACCACAAAAATGACACCTAACCTGAAACAATAAATATAGAAAATCTTTCGTAAAAAATATTTATTTTTAATAAAAAGTATCCTATGCTACTTCTAATACCTCCAAGAATATGTGTACAAAGTTTCATGATGATCTTTTAAGTAGTTTTCGCGTGAAAGCGTAACAAACAAACTTTTTTTCACATTCACATTTATAATATTAGTAGGGATTAGGAAAATAAGATTAACGAATCCCACAACATATTTATTGCAGGATGAGAATGGTAAAGAAATAACAGGAGGCTTCTATGAACTGGAATTACAAAAAGTAAAACATTCTGACGCTCACTTAATAGAAAAGGTGTTACGAAAAAAGGGAAATAAAGTTTTTGTCAAATGGTTAGGTTACGATGACAAACATAATTCCTAGATTGATAAAAAAAATGTATTGTAGCATGTTATATTGTATAAGAATTGTAATAAACAAGAACAAGAACAAATAAATGATAAAACTTTCTGTATTTGATTTTTATTTAAATCACCAACCCTACGACTAATGATAGATCTGTACATAAATGATACTTCTAGTCGGCACGAACGGTTATCAATCTCTACCGCGCAGACGTCAGCCGCCGTTACGTGGCCGGCTGAAAGTTACGCCGATCCTGTTCCAGTCGCCATTTTGAATTGTTTAGCAGAATCGGCATAGCTCTTCTACTCATGTGTTGTGCACTGCTTAATAGTTATTACTTTATGTTTATTAATATTTATTTTAAACGTTTTTAGACATATACAAGTATATGTTGTTTATATTTCGTAAGTAAAAGAAAGTAGAAAAGTATTGTTCGTTATTTAACTTTCCCTATGACCCACATGCACTTGATATAACACGTGCTGAGTGCCTTGGACAAATTTCCTACTGATAAAGCTGTGATGCTGACCTGAATACATAATTTATTACTCCTTGCTTTTTTATTAATTTTATAAATAAAAATCAAACATTTAAACGAATGGAGCAGCTTAAATAGGTATTTTTAGAGCTCATTATTTTCCTTTAATTTCATAAAATTCTTTTCTATTCCATTAAATATATCTCTTGTTTTGTTTACCACCTGAATAGTTTTTATAGCTACTTACCGGTACTTCAGTATAGCATGAATTGTTTACTGTTTTTTACCACTAACTACGCTCAACATAATTACACACAATTATGCATCAAAAGACAACTAAAAACGTATAAGAAATCGTTCCATTACAGGGAAACTAAAACCGACAGCTAGGCAGCTCGCGTAGCTGACTGACGGCGCCAATGGCTAGCGGACCGATTGTGACAGTTCTAGTTATAAGTTTTATCACAGCTATTTTGTTTTAGCGAATCCGATTATTGCTTATATCGTTATTCATTCATACTATTGTTAAGTGTAACTAGAAAATATTAATTAATATTTGAATAAAGAAAAGATTAGAACCTGATGTTATGGATGTTCAACAGTTTGAACACCGACTTGTAAACGCGTTTGGGCATGGTTTGATGAACCAAGACAAATGTTCCTTCTCATTGATCTAGCAGTCAAATTAGTAGCTGTAATAAATATAAATCATCAATAGTTTCCACTTTAATATGATACACTTGATTGTTTAAATGTCCCCATAACAAAATTCGCAAGGGTTTAAATCAGGACACCAAAGCTACCATGCTACCGGTAATCCTCATTCAATCCAATGTTTCTTGAACTCCATAAGGTAATCTCGAACATGTTGTCAAATATGAGGGGATTTGTTGTTAATGAATCAATATTAATATTATTCATATCATTTTATGTAAACATAGTTTTATCTTTGTCTTTGTGTCTTTGAACACACACCAGGCCCCAAGCCGCATTTGTGGCCAGAGCTATCTCAGACGTAAACTTATTTGTATCGTTTTTTTATCCTGTGCACTATCGCTGATATAGATACAAGCAAGAAGACTTACACTGCTGCTGCATAAAAAATGCGTTTTTTGTTTTTCTTGTTATAGTATGACGGACAGTGCCAGTGCGAACAAGGATTTGGAGGCAGACAATGCAATGAGTGTATGCCAAGGTTCTACGGCGATCCCAAAGTGCAATGTTTACGTAAGCTATTAAATCATTATTTGCTTCAACTTAAAACGATAAACAATTTTTATTTTGCAGAATGCGAATGTGACCACCTAGGAGCAAGAACTGCTCAGTGCAACAGACAGACAGGAGCTTGTGTTTGTTTAGAAGGTGTTGGTGGTTATAAATGTGACCGTTGCGATAGAGGTTACATCGGAAATGTACCAGACTGCATAACTTGTGGCGAATGTTTCACTAACTGGGACAGGATATTACAAGAAACTAAAAGTAAACATCCCCTAATAAAAAAACATGTTCCCTATATTTAATTATGTTTTAGATCACACCTTAGATATTATAGAAAGAGCCAAGGATATTAAGAGTGAGGGTACGACAGGTGCTTATTCCAAAGAATTTGACGAAATGCAAGGTCAACTAGATGAAATCGAACAGTTGTTAAATAATACTGATGAAGTTGATACTGATTCTATAGAAGCAGATCTGCAAATATTACGAGACCGAATAAATAAAACAGAAAATGAAAAACTAATCAAACTGGACGACCAGTTAGACGATAATAAGCAAGTAATATTACTGAAGGAGGTTAAACTGAATTCATTAAATGACACCTTAAATGACTTGAAGAGGAAAATTAACGACTTGAGAAACAACGGCACCAAACTACAAGAAGCTAACGTGCAAGGAGCTTTGACTCTTATTCACAATGCAAAAGAAAAAGCTGACCATGCTGCTCAAAAAGCTGATCATTCTCAGGTTTAGTTCAGCCAATCAAAACGCATAACCATATATTTATATTAATCGAATTTTAGGAAGACGTCAAATATGCCGATACGCAGTGTAAAGCAACAGAAACCTTCATAAACAACACTGAAAAAGCATACAAAAAACAATCCGAGGACAATGAAAAGGAGCTACAGAATATTTCGGAAAAGATAAATGAATTAAACAATCAAATTCCGGAGTTAAATCACTTAGTATGCGATGGTACTGGGGTTCCCTGTGATTCCATATGTGGTGGGGCAGGGTGTCAAAGCTGTGGTAACTCGATTTCCTGCGAGAATGGCGCCAAGCAACAAGCCGAGACGGCCATTATTAATGCCAACAACACAGAAATCGCTTTGAGGAACAAAGAGACATTGGCTAATGATTTCATAAGGAATGTAAGTTATTTTAATATTATTTACAATAATATACAGAGTGGCACAAAAGTATGGAAACCCCTGAATAACTCGTCAGGAGTGCATTTCCTTGAAAAATGATAAATACAAAAGTTTTAGGATTTGTCCCCGGCTATTCAATGGCCCCCTTGTATTCGACCTTGACCTTTACCTTCAAGGTCAAAATTGATTTTTCAAATGGGAACCCCTATTTTTTATTGCGGATTTGGAAAGAGCAGGAAATTTTACGTCCAAGTATGACCTTGACCATATCCTTGACCACGACCGTCAAGGTCACTCCAAGGTCAAAGTTTTTTGCCAACAGGAACCGCTACTTTTATTGCGGATTCGTCAAGGTCGTAGTCGAGGTCGCATTTGAAGATAAAATTTAAGCTCGTTGCAAATGCAGAATAAAAACTAGCGGTTCGTATTGAAAAAACAACCTTGACCTTGGAATGACCTTAGAGACCATGGTCAAGGTCGTAGTTAAGGCCATGGCCGAGGTAATAATTTGAACGTAAAGTTTCATGCATTTTCCAAATCCGTAATAAAAGAGCGGTTTCTGTTGAAAAAACAATTTTGACCTTGGAGTGACCTTGAAGGTCGTTGTCAAGAATATGGTCAAGGTCATACTTGGACGTAAAATTTCCTGCTCTTTCCAAATCCGCAATAAAAAAATAGGGGTTCCCATATGAAAAAACAATGTTGACCTTGAAATGACCTTGAAGGTCAAGGTCGAATACAAGGGCGCCATTGAATAGCCAGGGAAAAATCCTAAAACTTTTGTATTTATCATTTTTCAAGAAAATGCACTCCTGACGAGTTATTTAGGGGTTTCCATACTTTTGTGATATCCTGTATAAAATAAGTAGTATTTACCAGTTCCTCACCGGCTTTTCCACTGCGGTTAGTTCAAATGGATTGAATTGTATGTTTAGGGCATATTAAGAAATTGAAAAATTTCTTTATTCTGGGGAAAACGCACTATAATCCCAAAAAAACTGAACTGCAGTAAAATTGTCAGCGGTAAAAGTTTCCATTGTTACATTTTAGCATCACTGTCTTATATAACATATTCAAACTTGCTAGCCAAGCCTCTAAACTAAACTAACTACAAAACAATTATTATTTATTAAGATTTTGATGATTTATGTAAAATAACTTCTACTATTGTAAAATATTGTACTTTAAACGAAAATTTGGTTTTCAGGTGTCGCAAATTAATACTAACGATACTCGAAAACTTGCTCAAGAGACTTTTGACAAAATATTGGACGAGCTAACCAAGGCCAATAACTCATTGAAGGAATTGACGGATATGAGAAATGAAATGCGTGATTTCTTGGGGCAAAATAACACTAAACCGGAAGATATCAGAAAATTAGCTGAGCAGGTATTTAAAGTATTTTTGACAACATTAACATTTGTATAATAAAAATTCCGTTGTAGGTTCTTAAAAAGAACGTACACAAAACTCCAGAAGAAGTTAAAGAACTGGCTGATAATATCAAGAATGCCGTGGAACGTCTTACAAACACCGATTATATAATTAAAGCCACAAAAGATGATTTAGCAAAAGTAAATCAATTGAAGGAACACGCTAAATACGCTAAGTAAAAACGATAAAAGTAATATTTTATAAAAATAATTCTAACCTTATTTACTTGTTTTCAGGTCCAATGCAACAAAATTGTTAAAAGAAGCAGAAGATGTGAATGATTCTTTAAATAAAACACAAGACGCACAAATGGAAGCAGAAACGGCAATTCAACAAGCTTGGGAAGATTATAGGACTGTGGAAAATATATTAAACCAGGTAGGAACATTATTTGCTTTCTTAACTATACATATAGAGTTTCATGACGAACGGTATGCACCGTAATGGTAGAGACAATCTGGTCAAAATTTGTGGACCTATGAATTTTCGCTAAACTTATAAGATATGTTCGTTAAATAATGTTGGTTATTGTATTCTTTATTTGGAGAGACATCCGTTGCAGATGATAAATATTGTAAATATCTCTTAGTAGGCAGAAGTAAAAATTTATGTAACATAGCGATTGAATATGTATCATAAATGCTGTTATGACTGTGGAAGCAGAACATTTTCTTTTTAAGGTGGTCATTTGAACTATCTGATCTACAACAATATCAAGTTGATTGGAATATTTAAAAGTTTCGTTAATGTGAGAAATTGAAACAGCTTCTTTCAACAAAATCAAAGCCTGTTTTAGCAATGTAACTGATTTAATTTGTAAATAAGTAATTTTAAATTTGTTTGATAAATTCTGTAGCTGCGAAAATCTGACAATTTTCATGTCGTACGGTAAAATCCGGTTTAAATAGTTTTTCAGTTTTTATTATCTCACTAGAATGAAAATGCAACTCACATACTCCAGAATATTTGGTAGGTGTTTAGTTGTCTCTACGAATCGCTCTAAGCCACTTTCTTTTTTTTGTCACTTTCACGACACGGCTATGTAATTGTAGGTTAGAATTAAGAAATTAGGAGAACAAACAAGAACTCCAACCGTAAATTATACTACTTTAACTTAAAGTAGTTAAAATAACACGACCGATAACTTATTAGCGTACTAGCGTATAGCAGGCGACTGTCAAATACGCCTATAACAGCTATAAGCCTGGGGACCAGTCTACGACCATGTTGCCACTTCCTCTCATTTGGCGGTTTGTAGATGTAGAAGGCTGTGGTTATATAACAGTTTTTTTAACAGTAACAACTGTAAAAATTTCTCTGAATATTCTGATGAATTATCTTCGTCTCCTAGATTGATAACGATAGGTTCCACAGTAACGTCAATTAAATTATCGAGTTCCCACATTTTCTCCTCTTCTTTTTGTACATGATGTATACATCTTTGCCAGTTATCTGCAGTTACTCGTCCCAAGGAATTTTTTAACAAAATTTCCACGTCACTTAATTTAAACGTCGTAATATTTCGCGCTACATCTCCTTTTACCTGCGCCCAGACTAATTCGATTGGGTTAAGTTCACAGTGATAAGGTGGTAACCGTAGTACCGTTATTTGGCGATTTGTTGCCATTTCATCGATAACATATTTTTTCTGATCTTTATTAAGATTGACAAGTGTCAAAAGTTCCTTTTTCACCATATTTGTTTCAAAAGAAATGTTTTTTCCGGATAACCATTGAATTATATCGGCTTTCCTCCAAGCAGTCGTAGGCGTCCGCTCGGTCTGCCGTGAATGGTAACTGGCATTATCCATGACAATTACAGACCCCGGAGGAATAAGATCCAACATGTGTAAAATACTCTTCGATAATATCTGCGTTCATGTCTTCGCGATAGTCACCTGTATTTTTAGATTCAAATAAAAGTAAACCGCCATCTACAAAACCACTGGCACTACCTATATGTGTCACTATTAATCTTCGCCCTTTACCTGAAGGTGCCTTGAACCCTGTTGAAAGTCCATCCAAAAATGCTTGTCGAAAACTTTTTACATTTTTATCTTGCCATACTTTTGTTACAGTATATCCCTCGTTGACCCAAGTTTCGTCTAGATAATAAATATTCCTCCCTTCGTCACGGAATTAGCATTAGTGTTACCCGATAATTACCTGAAACGAAATATTACCACGCCCATGGCCGGTTCTTATCTCGAGGTTTTATTACTCTATTTCATTTCCAAACAGACTATAGGCAAGCATATTTATTTATTTATAAAGAAATACTTTATCACAGAAACTGTAATTTAATATTTGTTATTGCTTTAAATAATCTTGGTACAAAATCAGTTGGGTAACTTGAAAAATTGCTTTCATGTCTGTTTTTACCTGGGATGCTGCATCATGAATAAGACATTAACGGAAATTCTGGGGGATAACTTGGGTTATTTGGGATATTAATATTTTGTACGTCCAATTGAACCAGTGATATATTTATAGATTGGCAACGATACCGAAGCCGCTCAGAGTACAACAGGAAGTATCGATAAGCACATACACCTCCTTAAAGACAAATTGACAGATCTTCAAAGAAACATCACCGATAACGGTATCTTTGCTAACCGGGTGATAGAGGAGTCTGTTAATATCGTCACCAACTCTCAGAAGGCACGAGATGACTCTGGGGTGTTGGAAAAGAAATATAAAACTGCCAGAAAAGAATTGGAAAAGAAATTGAATTATGTTAAAACTACCAAAGAACGCGCCAATGATTTATTTACTAAAGCTCTGAATTTGGTTGCGAAAGTAACTACAACGCAGGACAGCATCCAAAAGTTGGAAGACAGCAACCAAGGTGACGAACTAGATTCGCTTGAGAAACAGTTACAAGCATTGATTAAACGGATGAACGAATACACTGCCAGTTTGGAGAAGAGTGTGTACCATTACAAAACTTGCAATACCTAATTCGTGTAAGTATTTTATTTGAAAAAATGTTAGTTTTTGATAAAAGATTATACTTCAGAAGATAAGTGTACTTATACATATATATTTTTTACTGATTATCATTTTTGTTGCTGTGATTTCAATGATTTTGAAAAGATCTGTTTACCTAAGGCAATTACTTTACCTCTCAAAGGGACATTTTTGCGAATGGAACATGCGTTATTTTTTAAATGTGTATATAAAATGCTTTATAAATTAAATATGATTGTGCATCATCATTAATATCACAAACGTAATTGTGTAAATAAATAATTTATTTTAAAAAATGTCTTTTTATTTTATAAAACTATTAATAGATATTTTCTATAAACAGAGAAAAACACGAGATTTTCATATTATTGAGCGGCAGCGGGTAAGTAGTATAATTAATGCAAAACTGTCTGAATAGTTATTTATGCAAAAAGCATTAGTGAAAAATGTACGTTGTATACAATATTTTTGCTTTTTTTATTTATTTTACACAAAAAATGAAGGTAATAAAGTAATTATTGATTATACTAGTGAAAAAAGTATAATAAATAGTTGTAGTACCTACTTCATAAATAAAAATTCCTATCGGGCTTCATTGTGGAGTTATTCGCCTTTAAAGAAAGAAGTTTGAAAAACAAATTCCAATTATAACTTCCAAGTCGTTACCATGACAACAATGAAATTTAGGCAATTAAAGTAACTCATGGCAACGAAGCCCGATAGGAAAAGATTTTTTATGAAGTACTACAACTATTTTGAGCTCCCCTATACACTCCTTCATTTTTGACATGACCTTTCCCGGCACCCTGTATATGTAATATATCTTCTACTTTCCAAAAAATATATATTGTAAATAAAATTATGCACAATTGATTTTACGTACTACTGCGACTGCGTAATGTGTTACATTATCGCACTGGTTTCTAAAATAAATCAGTAAAATTGATTATAAGCAAAACAAAACTTTAAACATATATTTTTCTACTAGCGTAAACTATTTATTGATTGATGTTGCGTTCTAGTGCATAATGTATTTTATTTTAGCGCTGGTGCCTAAAATTATTGATTATGAGAGAAAAGAGTACTTTGCACACCAGTTGTAATCAATAATTTTTCTGCTACCGAAAATGTATGCCTACCTACATTTATTATAACTATTTTACCCAGTGGTGCCAATATATTTAACATCATTTTACACACTAATTCCTAAAATCATGAAATAAGATGTCTAGTAATGTTTATAAGTGATAAAAAATACGAGTTGTGTAAAATATTTTTCTGAAAACTGTATGTTTAATTTTGCGCACTAGTACCTATTAACGCAATTCAATAGTGTTGTTAAAGCTAGGAATAATCACTATAACAATTTAATTTTATTAAATTATTACTAATTAACAGTAACATCTAATGTGTCATAATTGCTATGCAACATCTAATACAATAAATGTCATTTGTTTTCGCATTAGTATTTAAAATACTTTACCTACACACTAATGCGAAAAATTTTAAATTTTGCTATATAGTGTGCATATAATTAATATTTTACACAGGTAGAAAAAGGATCATCATATTTTAAATAAGACAGGTAGGTATGTATGCAATTGTTAAATATCTATTTATTAATTCTTTTTATGATTTTTAATCAATTTGCAAAAAAAATTGTTTATCTTGTAATGCCGACTTAGAATGTTTGGAAAAATATAAAGATATTAGGTTATATTTATTTCTAAAACTCTTTATTTCATCCAGACTGTATACAATAACGTTGTGACTAAGAAGCTTTAAACAGCTAAAACTATATTTCATCTTACACAAGAATTAGTCAGAAAAAAATACAACTCTATAAATATAGAGAGCAATTATATTAGTACACTGAACCAATTAATGGTCATTGTCTTTAACTAACTGGGTTCTACAGATCAATTAGAACTGATCTGTTAAATTAAGTATAATGTGTTTATAATATAATGCCATTACTATTTCATATACTTACGTAATAGTTACTTTTTAATTATTTGCAGTTGTATACAGGGTGTCCGGAAATGATGAGCAAAAAATTCAGGGGATAATTCTAGACCGAAAATAAATCCCACCTCTTTCTATAACATTTTTTCCAAAACTGATTATTAACGGAGTTACAGGGTGTTAAAGTTAAATTTTATTTGCAGTTTTTTAGCAATACCTTTTGCCACACTCATAAAATTTTGACGAAATTTCGTATATGGGGGTTTTTCGGGATGAGGATTATAAATTTTCCCACCGTTTTTTCACATTTTGTAGAGGGCGCCACATACGAGCCTTTATTTTGATTTGAATGGTTCCAACTTTTTTGTGCTACACTTTATGCGACTTTTGACTGAATATTTTTGTTCTCCTAACCTTTTGACATAAAAAAGGTATACTTTATTTGTTTCGATAAATCTAACCGTTTTCGAGAAAAACGCTAAAATAACATTGCTTGCATGTGATGAATACGAAATCATTTTAATTTATTTTCTACATTAAACATAGCATGCTTTGGAAACAAGCGCTTAGTTGCCTTGGAAACAAGTTTGTGGAGAATTAGTTTTGACAGATAGTAATTTTTGTGAAAATTTGTTGTTACGCTGATGGTGGTTAATGATAAATAATAAAAAAATAACGTCCTCAACAAATAAAGAATGGTTTACTAACAAAATCATAAGGTTAAAATACATAAGTTACTAGAACAATACAAATACAAATTAAACATTCAAATCAAAGGTTCAAAGTGACGTCCTTCCTCTTCAATGCATAAATTAATTCTTCTTAAAAAATTCCGACGAACTCTATGGAATATTCCTTCCTTTTGCTTAATTACCTCACAATTAGCAACAATTCTTTCTCTCAGTTCATCGACGCTATTCACAGGTGTCCTGTATACAAGCGTCTTCAGATAGCCCCAAAAAAAGAAATCGATTGGGTTTAAGTCAGGGGATCTAGGGGCCCACTGTACAAAACCACCGCGTCCTATCCACCTTTCAGGAAAAGTTTCATTTAAGAATTCTCTGGCCGCTAAACTAAAATGCGGTGGCGCGCCATCTTGAAGCAGCCACATTGCATTTCTTAATCCGAGTGGTACATCTTCCAATAGAATAGGTAAGTGGTTTCTTAAAAAATCCAAGTAAACTTCACCATTGAGTCTTTGTGGAAAGAAATGTGGCCCAATTAAGTAGTCCCCTACAATACCGGCCCACACGTTGACGGAAAACTTATTTTGATAACCACGCTCTATTGATAAATTAGGATTCTCATCAGACCAAAAATGCTCATTGTGGAGGTTTATTAAGCCATCATGGCCAAATCCAGCTTCGTCCGTGAAAAGGATATTACGAACAAAATTTTGGTCACCATTATGAAGTATTCTAATTGTATTGCAGAAATTCACACGAGCAGCAGGATCTACGGCAGATAAGGCTTGCACCTTTTGGTAGTGGTACGGATGAAGGTTTTGTTCGCGTATTGTTTCATGTACGGAGCTCTTTGGAATGCCCTCCTGAATAGCAATTTTTCTTATACTTACATTGGGATTATTCTCTATCGAATTCAAAATACGAGCTTCTGCTTCTGCTGTTCTAGTATTCCGTTGTCGACCTACATCAAAAATTCTAGTTTTGAACGATCCAAATTCTCCCAGTCTTCGATGAATAGTACTGAACATTCGCGATTGGGGTAGGTTTCTATTTGGAAATGCTTCGCGATACAAACGTCGTGCTGCAAGAGCATTGCCAGCAGCTAAACCGTAATAATAATGCATGTCCCGCAACTCCACGTTAGAGTAATTGTTGTTCATTTTTATTATTATTTTTATGATAACAATTACTACAAAAGAACTTGTACAAAATTACTATCTGTCAAAACTAATTCTCCACAAACTTGTTTCCAAGGCAACTAAGCGCTTGTTTCCAAAGCATGCTATGTTTAATGTAGAAAATAAATTAAAATGATTTCGTATTCATCACATGCAAGCAATGTTATTTTAGCGTTTTTCTCGAAAACGGTTAGATTTATCGAAACAAATAAAGTATACCTTTTTTATGTCAAAAGGTTAGGAGAACAAAAATATTCAGTCAAAAGTCGCATAAAGTGTAGCACAAAAAAGTTGGAACCATTCAAATCAAAATAAAGGCTCGTATGTGGCGCCCTCTACAAAATGCGAAAAAACGGTGGGCAAATTTATAATCCTCATCCCGAAAAACCCCCATATACGAAATTTCGTCAAAATATTATGAGTGTGGCAAAAGGTATTGCAAAAAAACTGCAAATAATATTTAACTTTAACACCCTGTAACTCCGTTAATAATCAGTTTTGGAAAAAATGTTATAGAAAGAGGTAGGATTTATTTTCGGTCTAGAATTGTCCTCTGAATTTTTTGCTCATCATTTCCGGACACCCTATATAACCTAGATATCACAGATACTTTAGAAATATAAAAATTTTCCCGTCTTGCGATAAATTCACTTGTACAACGTAAGAACAAGTGAGTAAAGACATTAAACATAAGAGTATAATAAGCATTTATTAACAATCAAACCAAATTCATTTGTGCCCTGAAGATAGGATGCGCAATGGCAAGGTTGTGGAGTGTAGATATACTTTTATTAGGGGTTATTACCTCCTACTTGCATTTTCTCCTCATTCTACATCTAGTGCGCTCGTTTTGATTTGCGCATTTCACGGTTCAAGTAAAATTTTTCCAGTTGTGTCGTACGTGATACTACAGCCACCTTTTCAAGAACAGTAAATTAAAAAGAAAATCCACAGAAGGGCGATCCTGTAAGGCAGGGGTTCTCAAACTGTGGTACGCGTACCCCTTGGGGGTACGCAAAAATTTTCAGGGGGTACGCGGGGCAGGTTAATGAAAAATTAAACCATTTGTATTTCTTTCCGTTTCGTAATCACACAAGGTTATAATTTAATAATGGAATCTAATTGAATACTTGTGTGGTACTTCTCATTAATTTTTTGTAATGCGTTTCAAATATATTGTGTTTTTGATGTAAAAAGTGTTTTTAATTTAACCGCCTTTGAAATAGATTGAGAACCCCTGCTGTAAGGTATAAGGCGAGTAAAAATACTTGGTATAAATTAAATTATTAATAATTTATTTTATAATACGAACTGGGGACACATAGTTAATGATTGGCACAACAAAGTTAAGTGTCTCTACACATCACATACCATTTTTAAATTCTAACGGAGACTATAAAAAACATTATTTAAAGAAAATAGAAAATAGAACTCCTGTATTATGTTTTGTTTTCTAGGTGACAGTATAATTATAATATTTTAGCTTTGTTTTTTTATTGAAAAAAAATTAAATTGGGTAGTTTTATTTTAAGTATTATTGAAGTATGTATAGGGAAAAGAAGCAATACGTAAGTAACAAAATTTTACACCACACCTGAACAAATTACGTTTATAAGAAAAAAAGCCCTGAATAGCTATTATTTAATTACGGTCGGACTAAACAGATAGACCAAGTAAATAAAATTTTTACTCGAAAAAAGTCCTATCCGCTAGATTATTGTAAAATTGTCTAAAGGAACATAATACAAGACATCTCTCGTCTCGTGAGTCAAAAACTTTTATTAGCTAACTTTTCTATTTAAACAAATAAGTGAGGAAAACAGTTTTTTCACTTTGCAGGGAAAAGCATCAATAACTATCGGATTTGTTGTTAAAATTTTATAAAACCTATGACAATTTGAGGGTTTTGTCATACTATAAAAGTGTGCCAAAAGTGGGCGCTGTAGGTGCAATAGTTTTCGCACAATTCTATTTGTTTATAGCGGAGGCTCCAAAAGTTATGAACTTTAAGCCTCTGTACAGACGTTAATTTTCAATCAAACATGATTCTGAAAGCGTCATTGTAATCTTAAAGACGCAATTAAGCGACCTATTAAAAAATATCACCGTTTTTTTGACATTAACATTCTCAAATTGTGCATTAAAAAACCGTGCGTTTTTCGCTTATAAACAATTTGAATAACATTGTTGCTATTTATGCTATCTCACCGAAAATAGATGCAATGGATAGCTGGCAAAAAAATACAGTTTTAAAATAAAAAAAGTACCCTCTACGACCAACAGGAGCCAAGATAAGATTTTTTTTTAAATCGTAGGGCAATTGTTTATAAATATTAAGACTTGAATTTTTCGCAAAATAAAGTTTACGACGTAAACTACGATTTCCCGTGAATTGCATTGAAAAATGTGGAAAATTAACGACTCACGAGCCCTTTAAAGAGAAGGTACTCGCTAAGTAAACTGTCCGGCGGCCGGCGGCGTGGTGGTGGGGGAAGTGCGCGCTGTAAATTTTGCAATATCTCGGCTTCTATTCATCGTAGAAACTTATTTTTTTTTTAAACTGGGGTAGCTCGACGAAAAAATAACAATGGGCATATTTACGAATTCGTAGAATAGCCCTGAACCCCAGAAAAAATGCATCTTTTATAATTAATTTTTTTTAATTTACAAAAATGTCACAAAAATTATTGTTAAACGAAATATTAATTAAAATTTCAATTTCGGAATTATTTTACTATTATTAAATAAATAAATGAAGCTATCGTTCATTTAAAAAGTTATTTCTTTTACATATTAAGGCAAAGTAAACTTGTTTTTTCAATATTTTGTTAGCTATTTAATTACGATTTAAATGTAAAATTAAAGTAAAAATTCACAAATTATTTTCAAATTATTATTTATTGTTAAAAGATTTAAAAAAGAATAAAAAGCATTTGAATTTATTGCAAAATTCTCAAAATTAAAAAATATTAAAAATAACGCGGTCGATAAAATTACAATTTTAACTTCCTGAAATTTTAGTATATAAAGTTTTTTTATTATATTTATTACTAATTTTATAAACATAATCAAAATTAATTCAAAATATATTAATCACAACCATTTTCAATAATAGATATAAATAATGCAATATAATACAATTTAAAATTTATTTTTTTTCTATGTTTAATTATGTTCCTTTAGACAATTTTACAATAATCTAGTGGATAGGACTTTTTTCGAGTTTCTCTTTTATTTTCGCTAATTTTCCTGGTGTAAGAACCCAAACTGCATAGTAAATATGCTAAATATGCACTACTCCCATTCTGTCTTTCACTGCTGCGCGACGATAACCATGACCACCGCTGTAAACACTTTACAGACGTAGGAACGAGCTACGCGGAGCCCAGGTATTCGGGGTTTTTTAAACGAATTTTACAAGTCGAGTTAAACTGACTGCACATTACAAATTTAACATTTCCTTTTTAATGTTTCATAATGCTAATCTATTTAATTATCCAGATAGCATTGTAAACCCAAATAATTTTTTTTACTATCAAAATCTCTATAGGGCAAGGCGCCGCCACAGAGCCCCTCCGCACCAGCGGAGCTTTACAGGGGTAAAGAATTTGTGACCTTTGTCTACCATATATAAGAGTAGAATTTTTTCTGTTCTTTAAGTCTATGAGTCTGGCGAGATTTTAAAATTTCTTTGGGTAAGTTCGTTTTATTTTTGCTTAGTGATGCTGGAAGAATGTTGTAATCTTTTTACACTCTTTTAAAAAGTTATATTGTACTTATTGTATTATATTTTAATAGGCAACACTTGATTTCCATTTTCAATATACTGATATTGTTACCAGAAATATATTTAATAAAACCTATCATAAGCCAAAACAAATGAGATTAGATGAAATTGATAGCATGAGTAGTAAATGAGCCCCAAGAAAACTGAGGAAACCACCTGGAAAAACTACGCTTCATTAAACTTCTAAGGTTCTAATTTATTTTCTATATGATACATGCAATGAAATATTGTGAAAACTCTTATTTAAAAACAGATTATAAGTAAATATAAGAATAATTGTAGTAAAAAAGGATTATTGATATAAATATCAAATATCTAATAATAAAATAATTTATCTTACATCTACATATGTTACATATTAACCTAAAACTAATCACGTAATTTGTATCACTGGTGAAATTACAATAATTATAATATTTACAAGTCTAAATGTATCATGTTCGCGTATTCTCGTCTATCCAATCTAAATATTCTGTAACTCTTGTATACACGCCTGGATAACCTGGTTCTCCACATTTATTGCCAAAGGAGACCACTCCTACTTGAATCCATCTTGTCTCCCAAAGAACCATCAAAGGCCCTCCAGAATCTCCCTAGAAACGTTTGATATAGTATGCAGTTCTTTTTAATTTATCTAAAGTAGTTTACATATATCGGTTTAACAACAAAACATAATTGTAGTTCTATGTAGGATTTTGTCCCTTGAATAATAAAAATGTTTGAACCGAAAATATATGTTAATACATATATTTTACCCTGGTATACTAGTTATAAATTTATTTTAAATTGGTTTAGTTTAAAATATTGCACGTCTCGCCGAATATCAGTACCGAAATTATATAATTATTTTCCCCCCTAAGTAATGTGTCACAAATATCCTGTTTACAATTAATTATAACCATAAACTGTACATATTTATATGTACATTTGGGCAGTCCGGGAGCTCGTGGCATTTTGAGAATAGTCATTTTACCAAAGCTGACATTCACATATGTAAGGTCTTATTAGTCCAATCAAATTGTCGAAAATACCTCATTTTTTTGTCAAAAAATAGTTCAGTAATTGAAAATATGTAAAAATTAGGAAAAAACTCAATAAACTACTTTACCCCACCTGAATTTTTAGGCTTCACTTTCAAAATGGCGTCCAAAGTTCGCAAAAACAGTTTTTTCCATTTATAAAGATAACTAAACATTTTAGAAAAAAATATATCAAACAAAAGTTGTAGGAATTTTTTAATACGGATCCAATAAGTCCAAACCGATTTTGATCGATAAATAAATTAATTAGTTATTGCAAAAAAACCGCTTAAAATCACAATTTTTTCAAATAGCTATATCTCTTTCAAAAATAAATATTTTTATATGAAACTTGGTAAAAGTATAGCTATTGGGGAGCAAAATAAAATGATTTTTTCAAAATTGAAAAATATTGTATAGATTTGTTTGTTTATTTTAATTCCAAAGATCAAGACATTGTACAACATACAATTCTTAATATAGGATACGTCACCGAAAATAATTAAATACAAACATTAATGTTTAAAATATTCATCAACCGAGTAGAAGGCCCAAGGGAGGAGAAATTTTTTTAATTCTTGTTTGAATTTATTTTGTGAATTTACATTTTTTAAATATTTTGGTAGCTTATTAAATATACGTATAGACATAGACTGAATACCTTATCTGTCCTACACTGATGTGGCATTCGCAGATCGTCTTTGTATCTTGTATTATGTATATGCATATCTTCTTGTTTTATAAATTCATTTAAGTTGTTCTTTACGTAGCACTGAAGTACATGTATATAGAAGGGAATGTTAATAAATTATATTTAAGCAATAGTTTTTGCATGTAGATTTTCTCGGGACCTGTGCCATTATACGAATGATATTTTTTTGCGCTATCAAGACCAAATTTGCAGTTACAGAGTTTCCCCAACAAATTACCCCAAAGAATAGTAAGGAATATACATGTCCATAATATAATGAGAGAAACGTTGAATCGGCAACTACCGGTCTTAGTTGTATAAATAAGAAGCTTAAAGAGTTTAATTTGTTACAGACATGGGTCACATGTAAACTCCACGATAATTTCATGTCATGTATCCCTAGGAATTTACATTCATCTATCACAGGCATGGACTTACCAGATCAAATTTAATTAATGGGCTGAGCTCAGAAATTGTATTTCTTGCAGGAAATGAGATGAGATTTATCACAATTTAAATTTAACTTATTCTTTTTGGTCCATTCCGTTATATTTTGTAAAAGATGTTGAATCTGTTCGGTGGAGCAATTGTCCTGGTTGATTTTGAAAATGAAGTTAGAATCATCCGCATATAATATCGGTAACACATCTCTGTCTGCTATATCAAGCAGATCATTAATCATAATAATAAATAATACCGGGCCCAACAAACTGTCCTGTGGTACCCCACTGTTATTCAGTAAAACTTTTGATTGTGTGCCATCACTGAGATGCACACATTGCAATCTATCCTGTAAATATGATTTTAGCCAATTCAGAGCAATGCCCCTAATGCGCCAATATTTTCCAATTTTACAAATAAAATATCATGATCCACCATATCAATTGCAGAACTAAAGTCGAAAAAAGCACCATAGGTATTATATTTATTACCTGTACTTTTGTTTTTAACAAATCCCTGTTGATATGGTGTTACGATATTATTTTTATGTAAATACAAATTCATAACTGATAAAAAAGCTTTATAAATGTACATGGAAAAAAAAATACACGTAGTTCGTTACGTAGGATCGACATAGCAATAGTAGTATTACAGTCTTCTCTCCCCCAGCTGAGGTCATTAACTTTTATTCTGGCAGGTAACGGGCCGCTCGGCGGGCCGTACCTTTTTGAGAGTTTCGCACAGCTGAAGAGTTTTCCCCCTCACATCAGCCAGCTGATTGTTATTTTCGTTAATATTATGTACAGGGTGATTCACTATATCTTGACCCCCCTTTAACTTTTTTGTTTTAAGAGTTATAAACAAATGTGAAATATAAAAGTTGCACGATTTTTTATGAGTTTTTCGAAAATGATAGTAGAAAAACAAATGAAGTCCAAACAAAATGGCCGCGGATGTTAACTTTGTTAAGTTAAATGGAACACCCTGTATATTTTTACATATTTGGATAGAACGTTCCCTGTAGAGCATAGCCATATAGGGTTTGTTGGGTCCATCTCTAACAATAAGCAAGATACTTTTAAAAAACGAAAAGAAGGTTTTTTATTAAGAAAATAATACATCTTGTAATTGTTAGACCTCTTTCAGGCATTTCTGCCTTTTTTCCAATTACGTAAGGATTTACAGATTTAGTTATAATATATTTTGACAGATCGGACATTGATACGGTCCAAAATGCGTATAGGTAATGTAACGAAATCTCACTAATTAGGCCGTGAGAGGTCTAATTACTCATGGACATTATATGGTAGGTCGTGACAGTGACAGATAGTAATGTCTTGATAACATTGTTATTGATTGACAGTATGTATTATTATTTAATTAAAATAGGTTACACAGAAGTAGAAAATTATTTAGAATTAAAATAGAGTATGGAGAAGAACTTTGCTCTATTTTAATTCCTATAATATTTCAATTTTCTACTTCTGTGTAACCCATTTTAATTAAATAATAATACAAACTATCAAACAATAACAATGTCGTCATGACATTACCTGTCACTGTCACGGCCTACCATATAACATTGTCCATGAGTAATTAAGCATCTCACGGCCTAATTAGTGAGATTTAGTTAAAATACCTATACGCACTTTGGATCATATCAATGTATGATCTGTCAAAATATATTATAACTAAATCTGTAAATCCTTACGTAATTGGAAAAAGGCAGAAATGTCTGAAAAAGGTTTAACAATTACAAGATGTCTTATTTTCTTAATAAAAATGCAGAAATGTCTGAAAACTTAACTTGTTTTTCTACTATCATTTTCGAAAAATTCATGAAAACTCGTACAACTTTTATATTTCACATTTTTTTATAGCTCTCAAAACAAAAAAGTTAAAGGGGGGTCAAAATATAGTGAATCACCCTGTACATACCTATGATTTTATAAAATTTAAGTTTTGGTAGAATAAAAAAAATAAAGGTTTTTTGCAAAAATGAAATTGTACAAATATGTTCATTGTTACTCTGTAAAAAAATATATGATATTATTGAATAGGCGACAGGACGGATAATGCGGATAAATTGGCACAAAAAATGCTTTTATTAATGTATTATTTTATTTGTCGCTCTCATTGCCGCTTTCCTCGACATCACTTTCTCGATATCGCTTTCATATTCGCTCGAATTAATATCTATATCTTCTTTTTCCTTTGCTTTTGAAAAAAAGTACGACAATACGTACGATAAAAAGTACGATAATATTAATCGACTATAGTAGGTACATAAGTTTCGGCCGTCCACTGTAGCAGGTATAGGTGGACACTTACATGAATGTCATAGATACAAAAATGTCGTATAGTAGGATCGTATTCGATGCAAAGTAGAGCAAAAAGTTGTCGGTCTTTTATCAAAGGAAAATCGTGTCATCATTTTTAGGAGGCGTAAGATAAATCATTTCAAATTTAAAATGAAATTCATTGTAAAATCTGAAATACCGCTGCATACGCACTGTGTTCTGGTAGTAGCTGTAGTCGCCCAGGTGCATCGAGTGTACGAACTGGTCGGTTATACGTCAAATACTAACCTGGCGAGCTTTGCCGTCAATTAGAGAGCGCTTCCAAAAAACAAGTAAACAACAGTGGCGCGTACAGAGGTAAAATGTAGTACATATGTGGAATTTAGCAAACAAATTGGATTTATAATAAATTACATTTAAAATAAATAGTTTATGAGAATAAAGGATTTTTTGTAGGAACAAGGGTGCCAGACCTGAACTGATCCCCTCGTCCCTTCATAATGTATAAAGAAATTATTCAATTTGTAAAACCCTTAAAAGCGTACTTCATTGGTTCCCTTGACAGGCAATGATTTATTACTTTGCATCGAATATGATCCTACTATAGATACGTTCAATTTATTGTTGATCAAGCTGAAAGCTAGTCCCCCGACGCGTGCTCAGCCGACGTTTATTTTCATAACATACACTTTTTTACTATTATTAAAATCGATTTCACCTTTGGTACTAAATAAACATTATTATGCCACATAATAATGAATTAATAGAAACACTTTTTTGTGCAATATTTATCCGCATTATTCGAGTAACAATGAACATATTTGTACAATTTAATTTTTGCAAAAAACCTTCACTTTTTTCTATCAAAGCCTAAATTTTACAAAATCATAGGTATGTGCATAAGATTAGTGAAAATAACAATTAGCTGGCTTATGTGAGGGGAAACTCTTCAGCTGAAGGCTATTCCCCAGAGGCGTGTTTACGTGTAGCTTGTTTATATAACATACACATACATTTTTTAATATGATTTTCATACAAGTCTATACGCGCAGCTGAAGCGTTTTCCACCGGAATTTTTTCAGCTGAACGTGATTTTTTATCATTTATTGTTATAAACAAAGTATACAAACAATCTCAGCTTCGGTACTATTATTTTTTTTTGACATTTTTCAAAGCGGGTGGCCTCACCTCCACCCGAAGAGCAGCAGCTGAAGGTCGTTTCGCTTATGAACCATAAAAGACCTTACATACGGATAAAAATCAGCCTTTACTGTTGGTTACTAGAATGTGCCACGGGCTCTTGGACTATTAAGGATGTTCGGTTCATTTGAGTTTGAGGGCGATTTTTTTTCCATGGGTTTTCAGTTCGTTCGGTGCGATGCGAAATTGAAAAATAAGTGGGCAAAATAGACTCTTTTAGTGTGACGTCACATATTTAGGCGAACCGCAACAAATTGTCATAGTTGAAATTGTACAACAACTTCAAATTAATTTATTTTTACAAGGATTTAGAAGTATTTAAGAACAAAGAACACGTGTTTGGTAAAATAGATACACTAATGTGCTTAAAATTTACAAAAAATGATACAAAAGAATATTCCTAAATTTAAATGAAGTAAAAATTTAACATTAGCCGTGTTATGCCTAATGCGCATGCTCGGAAAGAATAGCCTCATACGCAGGTGAGATCTTGATATGTTATCGCTGTCATCATTAGCGTTTTTCTCTTCTTTTGTTTAATATTGGCATTTTCTAGTTCTACTAAATATTTTTATTGTTTTTCTTGGTGTTGTGCTGTGTCAGTGTATTTATCGGGTGTTTTTTTTCTTCAAGTGGTTTGTTATAGACGTACTCTTAACCAATACCAAACTTTTCTTGAATGATATCCTGTTGTGAGGCTACTTCGCTTACATGAAATTATCTTTAATGCGCATGCTCAGGAACATTGATATAATTTTAATTTATTAATTACTTTAAAAGTCAATATTGTTCTATAAATTTAAATATATAAATTCAGTAATTCTTTTAGTTTGTCCCTTGGGGTTTGAAACTTCTTAAATATTTCTAATATTGCCAAATTATCGCGATATTTGAGGTCAAGACAAAGAAGACGTTTTTTTGGCACTTATGTCCAAAGTACATAAGGTCGAAAATGGATCTAGTAAATATATTGGGAAATTCTTCATGACAGTGTGCAGTATAGGGTTGCCTATTATTTGGCGTATGTGACGTCACTACTAAAAAGATCTACTAATACCACAGTTGCATTGAAATATCAAATTGTCCCCCCACTTTATAAAAACCTGGGTAGAATCCTGGTAGAAATTACATTGTAAAAAATATACAAAATTTTAAGGTAGGTGTGTAAAATTGTAGAAAGAAATCAATTCAAATGCATTAAAAGTTACATTTTATTTATTTTGGGGGAAAATTTTTTCATTAAAGTTATGACTGAACATTACGAGAACAAAACGGCATTATAAGAAGTTAGACCCAAGTTATAGGTTAACAATATTAAAAAATGTTGCAAATTCTACTGTACAAAACTTGTGCATTTTTGAATCGTTGGGAATTATTCTGATCACTTCCAACCGTTTATACGAACACCAAATATATGTTGTTAGCGTTGGTAATTTGCTATTCTTCGAACGTTATTTCACAAAAGCGCATGCGCCTGATGATTTCTGATAATTGCTAACCGTTCTTCGAACAAAGCTATTGGCATAAAATTCTGGTTTCTCACATATCAACTAACTACGATGTGTACATTCTGAATATGAATTAAAAGAATATGCTAAATGAGCCCACTGAAGTTATAGACTTACTTGACATGCATCGGTTCCTCCTTCTGAATAACCAGCGCAGATAAAACTGGAAGTAATGGGCTGGAAGTAAGCTTCATTGCAGTCTCCATTTCGCCAAATTGGCAGCACCGCTTGTCTCTGCACGGTGCTTTCTTTTCCACCGTAATACGTAGTACCCCAACCGACAACTGTAGCCTTCCTTCCAGCAAATTTTTCATTTTTCAGGTGTGGTGGTGGTAAACAAATAGGTATCACATATTTTGATTTTCTAGCAGGCCTGTCGAGCTTCAAAATGGCTATGTCGTTGTAAAATCCAATTCTGGAGAACTGTGTGTGTGATCTAACGTCTGTAACTTTGAACGTGACTGGAGCTGAAGCTTCATCGTCTCGCTTTAAGTCGATGTCTCCTAAACGAACTGTAAACTGATGCACAGCAAACCTACAAAAATAATACAAATGCACTCACAACAGGCAGTACCTACGTTCATAGGCGCCGATCTAAATTGCTGTAGGTGCGCAAATCGCAAATAACAGTAGACAGAGGAGTTGGAGTTTTGTGTTAAGATTTTCTAATTGCATTTGATAACAAGTTTTTAATTTTTTGAAAAACCATAATTAAAACAATTATAATCAGTTATCTAGTTAGTGAGTCAGAATTACTTAAATGAATAACAAAGTATAAACCTTCAAACAGATAATTTTGAAGTATGTAGATAGAAACTTGTACCATTATTTAATAAATAGAATCACCCTATAAATGTTTTACTCATATACCCCATGTAGATACTTATAACTTCTACTTACGGTCTTTGTCGAGAATCTCTGGTGCAGTGAGCGGCTGTAAGAATATGCGTCGCCGTTATTAGCGTTCCACCGCACCAAAATTCAGTTCTTCTAGACCCATGTAAGAAGATAGCTGCCATCCATGGCCATCGCCCTGGTAAAGCTTGTTCTCCACCGATCACACGAAACTTTGAGTTTTCTGGTTGGCCGCATTCTACAAAAACATGACATCTGTTAATATACCTATTGAAAGTACTATTTACTCATCAGGCATTATTTAAAAATACTTGTGTACAGAACAGACCCAATTCGACGTTTGTCAGGGTTTTCTCCTATTACCTACCTAAAAAAAAGCAAAAAGCAGCTGAAATGTTAGAAGCTCGAATTTTTTTTATTTATGAGAATTTTTTATTAGTAAGGCTTTTTTGTTCAGTTTTTTGAGTGGAATTCAATTTGGTACGCGATACGTTATGTTGCTGTACTTTCTAGTTTTTTAGTAATAACCCAAGCTAAAATTTTTTTCAATGTAACACTCTATACAGGGTGTTACAAATAAGAAAGAAATAAGAAAAACAATCGCACGGATATATGTCCTGAAGCACTTTGTTTCCGAGTTACATAGTAACATGGTTTATACCAAATGAAAACGAAACAAAGCCATTTGCAGGAACTGCGTCAAGATTGTAGAAAAACGCTCGGACCCGTCGATTTTAAATTAAAGGGGGACATTCTTTGCTTGACTCCGCTACTTTCACCCCCAAGCAAGGGTAAGCATCACCCCAAAATATTTAAATGGTATTGGGGGTTGAGTGTAATATTTCTTTTGAAAGCTCTTACAATTCTCTTTACAACAGACTTTAAATTTTATAATTTCGTCCAATATTTATTAAGAATTTGGATTTTAAAGTTGAAACTTATGTACAAACAATTAGTAACGGTAAATATGTCAGTCATTGGAGTTAAGTACGCCGATGGTATAAATTTAGTATTTCTTGCGTTACATTAATTTTTGTCGATTTGTTATCACTTTCGTAAAAAAAACAATTGTAAAAAACAGAAATGAATGCTATACACAGACAATGAACGTAAAATTAGTGGATTCCATATTATTTTCTAGTATTATTTGGAAGCGTTGGTTGGTAGTTTATTCAATTGTGTTTTTGAAAATTAAACACTATGGTTTATTCCATTGCGGAAAGGGTAGATATCATTCCGCTTTACTTTATGAACAATAAATGTGCGAATAGAACAGCTCAGCTATTTAATGAACAACATCAAGATCGACATATCAGGAGGAAGTATGTTCTAGAGTTAGTAAAAAAATTTCAAGAGACAGGGAACGCAGCCAATAAAAAACAAGAAATTGAAAAACCTATAGTTATTGAAGCCAGTGAAGTTGCAGTTTTGGGACAAGTTCATCTTATTCCTACATTAAGTATGAGACAGCTGGCATCTGTGTCTGGGATCAATCGAACTAGCATACAAATCATTTTGAAGAAGAATAAATTCCATCCATACAAAATCCAGGAACTTCATGAGGATGATTATGACCACCGTTTGCAATTTTTCGAAATAATGAGTGAGCGAGCAGGGAACGATCCACAGTTCCTTTTTAACATCTGTTTTTCTGATGAATGCATTTTTTCCTGAACAGGACGGTAAATCGTCACAATTGCCGCTATTGGATCGATTCAAACCCAAGAGTTTTTCTCGAGGTGCATACATAACAACCGGAAAAATTAAATGTATGGGGTGGAATTTTCGGTGACCGGCTGGTGGGTCCTTTTTTTCTACCTGGTAAATTGACTGGCCAAAAGTATTTGCAATTACTGGACGCTATTGACCTTGCCTTGACTGATATTGTTGAAAATGTTCCAGAGTATGATGAAGATCATTTGATCAGTATTTGGACCAACGTTTTCTACGGAATTGGATTGGGAGGAGGCAGCATTGAGTGGCCTCCTCGATCACCGGATTTATCGCCCCTTGATTTCTTTTTGTGGTGATACTTAAAAAGTAAAATCTATAAAACACAGCCAGCGTCGCTGGAAGATTTGCGTCAAAGAATCGTCGACGAATGCCGTCGAATCACTCCGGAAATGCTTCGGAATGTGCGCGAACGTTTCGAGCAAAATCTTTATTCTTGTATGGAAGCGGGCGGTCATCAGTTTGAACATTTAATCAACTAAGTAAGTAACCAACTAAACATAATTTAAATTTTAAAATGTAAATTTTTTTTCAAAGTAATGGGCGGAATTATAAAATTTAAAGCCTGTTGTAAAGAGAATTGTAAGAGCTTTCAAAAGAAATATTACTCAACCCCCAATGCCAGTTAAATATTTTGGGGTGATGCTTACCCTCTTGCTTGGGGGGTGAAAGTGGCGGAGTCAAAAATACCTTTGAATCGAAAATCGACGGGTCTGAGCGTTCTTCCACAATCTTGACGCAGTTCCTGAAAATGGCTCTGTTTCGTTTTCATTTGGCCACCCTGTATATAAGATCTCAAAAATGTTATATCAATATTAAATCAAACCAAATATTTAGGTTTTGAAATTTTATATCGATTTTTTTTAGGGGCCTCGCCATAAGTTAATCGGGCTTTGGGTGAAGCTCGAATATTCACCAGATCTCATTCATTCAAAAACTCTGCAACACTTCTACTTCATCTAATATTTACAAGCACTCGATCCATCAGATTTTGACGCGAATATAACATTTCGATGGTGGATTTTGTGAGAACTAAAAATCTTTATTTAGCTACATTAATCCTTTAGATTGGCATCTTGAGAGACAGCTCGATATAACCACTTATTTTTTTTTAATATTTAACGCCTCACATGAAACGAATTTATGAAACTACTTCCTTTTTTTCAACTCAGTGAGCACTACATTCTACCTACAATTTGTGTCATCATCTACAAGAACAGCTTTAAAATCACGTTTTGCAACTATCGAACAGAGGTAAGCGTATCATTTCTATGTAAATTATCCTATTTTTTCAGAAACTAACACAATTTTTGAGAAAATTTAAGTGGCATAGAAGCGCTACCAAAAAAAAAATTAACATCCGAAATATCTCGAGCAAAAAATATAAACATAAATATTTTTTATGAATACTTCAACATCTTGTATCTCGGAAACGAAGAATTTCCGGACATTATATTTATAAAAACATTGTTCATATTTTTTGCAGTCCTTTTTTTAACTATGTTTTAACATATTGCATATGTTTCAATTATGGAAATCTGTAAAATTCCCTTTCAATTGATGTATGACTAGATATTTATATAACCAATTTTTTCAAAGATATCAAAATTTATTTATAAGACAACTTATTATATCTCCAATAGACCTCTTTAGTAGTGACGTCACATACGCCAAATAATAGGCAACCCCATAGTACACACTGTCATGAAGAATTTCTCAGTATTTTTACTATACTCTCCGGTCGAAATTATAGAGAGTGATTCATCGCTAGCTTTTGGACTAGTAAGGGGGATGAAGCGTGCCGGGAACGAAAATCCATTGGCGTGTCTGCGTAAAAGGCAACAAGATATAGAAAATAATGAAAAAAGATAATAAAACATAACATCTAATATTTTTTACGGTTTGCTATAACAGGTACTTTGATCCATTTTAATTATTACAGCATTTTAAAACGTCCCAATTGTGTTTTTTTAATTTATAAATTTATTATAGCCATGGAATTAGACCCCTCGTCTACGCTTATGCTATGACGTTTCTCAGGACGGGTTAAATCAAGTCCGTTTACACCCACTAAAAAAGCATTTCCCTATTCCCTACCAAGTGCAAAAGACAGAGATAGAATATAGATCGACGTTCAGTGTAGAGATGTTTTAAAATCTTATGAGCTTTGACCATATGCGCAGAAACATAATTCCAACCGTCGCCTAAATTATTCTACGTCCTAAAACATTACACCTATTATTCACAGTCTCGAGCTCTAGCGTAAATAAGCCTTTGATCCGATTACAAATATCATAATAAAATGCCCTATTCTTTATTATTTTAATTTAAACAATAAAAATATATATAACGAACGTTCGCCAGTTGACTTTATTGATGCCCGAGCGCCTTAATTCATGTCTACTTGTAATGATGCACATCTGAGTCAATGTTTTCACAACGTGCTTATTAGAAGAATTATGGGGATACGCCACGCCTTTCGCGCATTTCGCGGCTCAAGAGATATTAAAAGACCTCTAACTCGGTCTCTAGACGATTATAGATTCTATCGATGTGTGTAGCGAGCGGCACAAAGATAAATAATATTGAACCGTATAAAAATCATTTTATATTTTATACGCATTATGGTAATGTGTGTGTGTATATTTATATTATGTCTTAATCACTCTCTATAATTTCGACCGCGGAGTATAGATCGATTTTCGACCTTATGTAGGTACTTTAGACATAAGTGCCAAAAAAATGTCTTCTCATGACCTTAAATATCGCGATATTCGGGCAATATTAGAAATATTTAAGAAGTTTCAAACTCTAAGTGACAAACTAAAAGAATTATAGAATTTATATTTTTAAATTTATAGAACAATATTGACATGTATAGTAATTAATAAATTAAAATTATATCAATGTTACTGAGCATGCGTATTAAAGATAGTTTCATGTTCAGGCGAAGTAGCCTCGCAACAGGATATCATTCAAGAAAAGTTTGGTATTGGTTAAGAGTACGTCTATAATAAACCACTTGAAGAAAAAAAAACACTTGATAAACTGACTGACACAGCAGAGCACCGAGAAAAACAATAAAAAATACTTGGTAGAACTAGAAAATACCAAGATTAAACAAAAGAAGCATGCGAATTAAGAATAAATAACACGCCTAATGTTAAATTTTACAAAACACGTGTTATGTTGGTTGTTCTTAAATACTTCTAAATCCCTATAGAAATAAGTTAATTTGAAGTTGTTCATTTTTATAATAGGTATCTATGTAAACAAGGGTCAGATTCGATCTGTATAATTTCAACTATGACAATTTGTTGCAGGTTGCCTATAAATATGTGACGTCACACTAAAAGAGTCTATTCAATGTGCTTACGGTTGCAAACAATTTAAAAAATCGAAGAATCGAATATAGGTTGTCCTTTTTTAAAATATATAAATAGGCCATATAAAAACCACAAAAAAACTTTAACAAAAACCCCCTTCTACAAAAAAAAAATATATTTTTCACAAATAAAAATTGATTGTCCTCTATTAGGCAAAGTACGACCAACGATAATACATAATATGATTTATGTACTGTGATATTATTTTTTATTTTTCTAGACTGCATCAATATCCGTGGGTTACATTTAAAGTACCTACAACACCTCACAAAATTGACGCATTACATGCTACAATTTTTATTCCAGAAAAAAATAAATGGTATCTATTAATGAGATATGGCTACGCTAGCGCAGTCGGTCGAGAGTGCGGTGGCAAGCATTTCTCGGCTAGGCTTCCTACTCTGGTCCGGGTTCGATCCCCGGTGTCGGCACTGGCAATGTCGATGGATAATGGGTGTTTGTCCGCGTTTTTCAAGTGTAGCCCCCTTCCGCACAAGCCTTTGGATTTGGGGGTTGTCTCATTTCTGTGGTGTGTTTTATGTTTATGTTTTATGAGATAACATATTATGTTGGTAAGTTATGTGCCCTTCGACGTTACAGAAGAACAGCCAAAAATCGGCCTTCTATATTTTAAACTTTAAAATATGAAAGTTGTAATTAACAACTAGAAATTTTTTACGAAGACATTGAATTCCATATAAAGTGTTCTTAAAAGCGTGACAACCTTTTGATTTTTGTCTCTTTTTAAACTTCTAACATCTTCGCATGAGAAGTAGTGTAAATCCATTAAATATTTTATCATTGCAATCCTGAAAAAACGTTCTCTTCAAATATAATATAATATACAGGGCAATAAAACAATCATGAGATTAGTTTTCCACGCCTTTTGAGAATGTCTTGTATAAAATTCAGTGCCAATATTAAAAACTTATTTTTATCACTTTTTCGTTACTTTACTTTAGGATATAGGTGGGGTGATTTTTATAACCAATAAAGTGTCAAGACAATAAAGAGTACCTATCACAGTAGGTATTTTATCCAAAATGAAATGTTCTGGGCCCAGTACCTACTATTGTAATAATATGTAGTTACGACGAACATATTGTATGCGGCCAATGTGTAAAATATACATTATAAATTAAAAACATTACATTATAAACTACAAATAATGTTTTATACAGGGTGTTTCAGAAAGATCTCCCGTAAATACAGAGGGTGATAGTACGACAAAAAATAAGAATGATTTGTCTTATGAACTATATGTCTACCTACTCTTGTTTTCGAGCGACAAAATGACATTTTTTAAATAGAATTTTTACGAAAGTTTCCAAACGGTGCGAAATATTTTTATGAAATTTGGTATTCCGGGGTTTTTAAGGATGCCAAATAGGCTGGTCTAATTATTTTTTGGATATTTCATAGAGGGCGCTAGTTATGTTACATTTCTATTACATTTTTAGTTCTAATTTTTTAAGGTTTTCGAGAAAAAAAGACATAATTAAACTCTTAAAATATTACGGTGTATAAAATAAGTGACTTTTCTCAAACTAGGCTTATTGATGGATGTCTCATAAACAACGCATACAATCTTAGTAATATTTTAAACTCTAATTAACCTTATATCAAAATTTTAGTGATTGTTAGTGACTGTAGTTAATAATGACTCAGGCTCCAATTTCTAATGTACAATTTTATTGTCTGAAAATAATGTACTCTTGTTGAAACTTCCTAATGTGGACGGTTTTCGAGAAAAAAGGCTTTTAATTGAACTCTCACAATATTACGGTGTATAAAATACGTGACTTTTCTCAAAGTAGGCTTATGTCAAAACTTATTAATGAATGTCTCATAAACAACGCATACATTTTCAGAAATATTTTAAACTCTAATTAACTTTATATAAAAATTTTAGTGATTGTAAAACCCCGGAATACCAAATTTCATAAAAATATTTCGCATTGTTTGGAAATTTTCGTAAAAATTCTATTTAAAAATGTTTATTTTGTCGCCCTGTATCTCGAAAACATGAGGAGGTAGACATATAGTTCATAAAGCAAAAAATTCTTATTTTTTGTCGTATACTAATGCGTAATGTACAAAATATTAAGAGAATTATTGTTTATTTTTTCCAACTAGTTTATGGATATGCCAAATTTATTTTATTTATTTAATTTTGTACAATTTCCAATTAATTTTAACTGATTTTAGAAATATTTTACTTCTTTCAGTTCTTTCACTATTAAATCTAGTTTGTAATTATTGTCCGTGGCCGATCCACAACAGTCTGTTTCACTGGCTGTGATTGGTATAATTTTTCAGGAGATTCAATTTAACCAGTCAGCGATCGCATTATTTCGAGCGTAGGCATAACGATTTGTTACTGTTAATTGTAAACGAATCATTAATATTGGTGACTCCAAGATTTAGGAAATTTTCGTGCAATATTGGATTGCCTGAGCTCGGCGCCTCGTCGATCACGTGGCTTGTAAACATTTATGAAAGCTCTGTATTATTTTGTACGTTTAAAAAGTAAACTTTTATTTTTTCTATTAATACCTTGTGGATCCACAAAATTATTGAAAACTGCCGGCTTATTTAACGGTTTGCTGACTTCTGACGAGTGGCTTGATTCTGCAGATGTCTTCTCTGTATTGTAATAAATAGCAGCAAAAGTCACTGGACGGATTGTTGTCGTTGTCGTCGACGTCGTTGTGCTAGTTGTTGTTGTGAAGGATGGATTTGCAACATCGTTAGTATTTGGACAACATACTCCTGGGACAAAAAGGCTTTTGAAGCACAGCGATTGCCTTAAATTTCCCAGATTTAATAACAGTTGAGGGCAGTCACTCAAATCGTTACAGTATCTAAAACACAATTTTGTAGATTTAAGCTTTACTTAATGATTATGAGAAATAACGTTACATGACACGTACTTATTTAACGTTACGCAGAAATTAATATATATCAATTTAATCTAATAAAATAATATTAAAAAGTTGATTAATAAATGGGTCAATGGCGAGGAAATTGTAACACAAAATCAAATGCATTTTTATCACTAGTTCATATCCTTTCAATGTAAAATAATAGAAAAAATACACAGAATAGTTTTTCCGATGTGGCAATTGAATAAAATGTTCCCTTTACAGCTGGAATTTTTTAAATTCTGTAATTACAATACAAAGAAAGTCGTGGTACTGTTATTACCGAACGCCAAGTACAAAAATATTAACTCTAATAATAATTGTTTTTGTTGTAAAAATATTATCGAAAAGCTGATTATAAAATATGTATATTATCAGATTGTCATTAATCAACAAAATGAGGATTTTTGTCTGCCTCATGTTTTTCTCAATGCACTATATTCCTGACCTTCAGTGTACAGGATGTAATTTTAAGTGGGGGTCAGATTTTTAGGGATAATAGTATGTTTTCCCCAGAATACTATTCTGAAAATATTTTATTTTAAATCAAATAAAAGTCGAATTATAGTTCGTTTTTTAAACTTCACTTAAACACTTTCTACGCCGCCACTGGGTAACTTCCGAACACGGTTGCGCGCTAATCAGTGTTGCCTGTTGTTACCTTTTTAAACCAAATGTATGAAAGCACCAGAGTCGCAGAAAATGAAACTGCAATGGAAAATAATTTAAAGCAGATTGCTTTTGATTTGCGATATGTTATTTTAAAGTCACCTAACCTAACCTTTTTTTTCTTTGACATCAACTATACAAACGCCACCCCCAAAACTCCATCTCTGGATCCGCCCATGCAAACTTATCATATGTTTCTAAAAGTCAAGTTTATGTATAAAAGTCAAAATATGACCTCCATACAAAGTTAAACCTTGTAAAAAATGAATTAATTTCTGTAAACAATTCAAAAGTTATAGCAGAAATAGGTTTTGATGCAGAGTCATAGATCCTCTATATACAGGATGTTTCTGAAATAAGTACGTTCCTTGAAAAGAGTGATAGAAGGCACTGAAATGAACAACTTTTATTAAACAACTGATGGTCTAAATGCTTCTGTTTTCGAGAAAATGAACCATAAATGTAAGCCGACCCTGTGCATCTTGTGCACGTACGTTATGAGTTGCCGTATTACTTAACCGGCGTATATAAGTAACAGTATCGTGTGGCGTGTACTACGGGAACAATTATTACACCCTATCATGTACAAAGTGTTGAGACATTAAATAAGAAGGGTCTTTAGCACCGTGTGGAATTTTGAAAATGGTTTCGACTTCAAATAGCACAAGATCTGGATTTTACAAGCAAGGTGCTTTTTACGGATGAATATTGTTTTACTGGAGACGGTATACTAGATTTTCACAACATTCACTATTTGTGTGATGCAACGGTTTTCAGTGAATCTGTGGCGTGGTGTTTTTGGTGCAGAATTTTGACCGGCGTTTGGAAGCATATTTATTAGCACATGGAACAATTTTTGTAGAGTATATCGTCTGTTGGTAAGCAATTCGTTTAATTTTTGTATTACCTTTAAACGAGATTTGAATAAATTTCAGCATTTTCGAACACGCAGCACGCGGCAGCTTCGATACCAAAGGTACAGCAGGCTACGGCTTTAAAGGTGGAGGAGTCTCTAAGGTCGGTTTTTGACCTAATTAATAAAGTGCACTATGAACTCTATGAACTACCACTTTCACTCTTGTTCACCATTTTTAGCCTTTTTACCTCCCCCCCCTTAAGGAGAGTAGAGGGGGTAGTTTTATTAATTATGTATGTGCAGGACATGTACATATAAAATATGTACGCTGGAGCGGGGTGTTACATAAACCCCAAATTCGAATTCTACTTTCCCAAAAACATATAAGTATATATTTTTCATCATTTTTTATCGGCTTTTTTACGATTTGACCTTCAAATGAGTTTGACTCTGATGTGATAGGAGTCAACGAAACTCGGATTCGGATTCAGCAACCCCAAAAACCTATGGATGTATTTTTTTGGATTTTTCATTGGCTTTTTTACAGTTTGACCTTCAAATGACCTTGAACCTGATGTGATGGAGGTCAATGGACCTCGGATTCGGAATCAGCGATTCCAAAAACCCCGGGATACCCTAGTCAAGTCTGGTGATCTAATTTAGGTCAAAAACCGGCCTTAGAGACCCCCACCTTTGTTTAAAGTTTCATGTGATTTTTTTTTTTCAATTTAAAACGTAACGTTTTAAACCATCAGTTGCTTATTTTCATGCCTTCTATCATTATTTTCAAGGAACGCACTTATTTCAGAAACACCCTTGTATATTCACACATATTTTAAAATCTTACCCATCTTGTCCCTCTGGCGTTGTACAGATTCTCGAATTTTCAGAATCTTCAATGGTATCTACCTTATCATTGTTATTTTCACTATATTTGTTGCTATGACTTGAATCGATCGGTTCTTTTTCTTCAATGTTAATAGGCAAAGCTTCTCTTACCAATGGAGCTATAGTATCTGTTACATTCCTTCCTAATACATTTTTGCTGAGAGTGTACAGCGCGCTTGGCACATCAGGCGACAGTTTGTTATTTGTTTCTCCACCTCCTCTTGTCATATTAACTAAATACCTCCCGACGGTATTCAAAGCTCCTAAAGTCTCTGATATTTTATGTATAGTTTCTGGTTTAAAATGCCTCCCGGAATCAGTTCCATCGTTGTAGACATGTGGAAGGGTCTGTCTGTCGATGTTTCTAGGTTGCACAATTTTAAAAGAAGCGCGTGGGTCTTCTACGGAATCGAACCATGGATCGTAATACCTTCGTGGAGAGTATTGATATGAGAAAGGAAATAGAAAACACAGCATACATATCCTCCCTGAAAAAGAAAACAGTATTTGATGGTTATAGATTTAGTACCAAGACTTGCTTGACTAATTGATTACTTAGTTAATTTTTAACGCATCTATTAATAATAATACATTCATTAAAATATTTATACAGTCGACTAATTTCACTTTAAGAACAAAATGCACCGTCGTCGTATAGAGAATGTGTTGCTCATTTTCTACCAAAGAGGTTCACATTAAATACCAAAGTATTTTGAATGTAAACATTCTGTGGACATTTATAATACAGTGTGTTTCAAGTGGTAGTTTTCGAGATACATTTCCTTGGCCGAGAAATTTCTGGATCATAAAAAAATGTATATAAAAAGAGTCAGTTTCGAGAGAGCAAACGCGCTAATCAGAAATCTCAAAGCGAAGGAAACTAGTGACAGAGTCACAAAAAAGTGGGTTAGACCGTAAACTATTTAATGTTGGCTCGCTGAAGTCAGAATTCCCGGATAAGTTGTGTTCTGACTCTAACATCAAGACACTCCTTTAAAAGACTATTTTCGAGATTCCAAACTGACTTGAATTCAAAAAATATTTGAATCAGATCAGTGTAACCTATAGTATTTTTACCCGCTCAATTCGAATGTAAACGCAGTTCGTGTTTTCACCCTAACATCAAGAAACTCCTGTAGAAAGCGGTTTTCGAGATTTTAAACCGACTTCAGGAGTCAGTGATTGGAAAAACATTGGAATCCTCGCACACCCCGGTTACGGGGATACTGGGTTATGGGGTTAGAGAAACCTGCCAACACAAAATCGTGTAGTTTTGGACCACTGATGTATCAGATCCATGTTCCTACAGAGTTTCATGGTTCTACACTATCGCACATCTCGAGTTATGGGATTATGGGGTTGCGGAGTTATTTGGTTATGATACAATAGATGAATTCAAATGTTTTTCCAATCATTGACTACTCAGGTCACTTTGAAACTTCTTTCTAGAGGAGTGTCTTGGCGTTAGGGTCAAAGCAGGAATTGATCTCGGAAATTTTTACTCTAAATTCGTATTCAAAGTACTATAAGATACACTGGTCTGGTCTACATCCCGACCCACTTTTTTGTGGCTTGGTAAGTTTGGAATTGTTTCGGAATTTGAGTTTATTTTCACCGAAGGTGTATTTTAAATCTGGGAGTTAAGTTTCTGTCAACGTTTACAACGAGATTTTTTGTAGAAAAAATAATGGATGCAACTCGTGTGAAAAACAAACTTTTTTGTTCATGCGAAAAAAAATTAGGTACTTTACCTACTTGTTGCATAAATAACTTATTTTTTTTGCTTCTCTTTTGAAGTGAAATTTGATGTCTCATAGTTATTACATTGCGCCATCGAAGTTTTCATTTCTGATATTGACGATGACGATGATATTTACGTAACATTTATGTGTCCCAAATTCGATACTATACAGCCAGAGAAATTAAATAAATATAACTCAATTATTTATATTTATTTTACCGTTCATTTTAAAAATTCAAAAATTTCAGCAGATTAAAAGAATTGTCTGAGACATCTGAAAATCTAAACGATTTTTGGGAAATCCTGAAACAACATTAGGTACACATTCAATTTGGTACATATTATTATTTGCGCTTTCACCTTTGTTAGATGGATACAAGAAACCAACTGGAATTTAAAACAATATTTCATCAATGGAATTCCCAATATCCTGTACGCGTTACATAACGTAAATTTGAAGAGTTAGTTAATACATAAAGTAAGATTTTTTCAAAATCAGAACACTTCTTAGAAATATACATTATGCAATGCATCAGGAAATTCCGATGATACTAAATATAAGAAATGTTTGATTACTGTCTGCCAAAAAATGTTTTCAATGTTTTCACGAAAGTAACTAACAAACAAATTAAATCAGATAAAAAGATATTCTTTTTGTCTGATTTATGAAAATGGGAAAAATAATTTCAATGACGTCATAACCTTTAGGACGTTAAATTTATCATGATAAATTTTAACAAATAACTCATACAATCATGCCATAAAAATCCGCGCTTACAATTTTCTATTCCACTCTTTCCGCTTTATTTACAGCAGCACATTTTCAAAGATGTTTGACGCGTTGAATCCGAATCCAACCTCTCGGAATGGCTCCATCATGTCAAGTTTTCGATGTGTTCTAACGTAAATTATCAAAAACACGCTTTTTCTCCATATTTGAAGTTATGTTACCTACACCACGAAATTATTTTTCTCCTCGTTATAGCATCTGAAAGTATAACTCTTTTTCTTTTGATGCTGTTATCTGAAGACGGGGTAAAATCCGAAACAATTAAGTATATTAAGCAATTTTTGAATGAAAAATAGTTTTATAAACTAAGTGGTTTTTTGCCCAGTATTCCAGGAAATAAATAATTTTCAAGAATAAAGAGATTTTGTAGAAGAGTAGTTTTGTGCAGAAAAATTATTTCGTCACGCAACGTAACCTCAAATATAGTGATTAACCGTGTTTTTCTACTTTTAGGTTAAGATATCTTTAAAACCTAATGTGATGGAACAATTCTGACATCGGATTAGAATTCAATGCGTTCAAAAACCTCGGGAATTTCAAAAATGTAATAAAATTTCCAGGATTGTATAAAAATATGAAATTGATGATGGTCCAGGAGAGACGAAACGTTATACATAAAAATTTTTCTTTTTTCAATATCACCTCAAACAAGGCTGAACCAAAACAAAAAACGGATTTCCAAAATTTCGATGTTTTTCAAATATTTCGAAACGTAAACTAATCATGCGTACACATAAATTCGTTATAATTTGTTTTTTTTAATTAATATTTTCAAATATATTTATATTGAAATATGGCAATATTTCTTTCAATTTCCATGTTTAAATTATACAAACGTTCATTTGGTAATGTTATTTATCTGTAAAACGTCTTTTAATTAATGGTATATATTTGCGTACCTAAAATATTGTAACTGTGTGTAAAATAGCTTGCTTGAAAGAAAAATTATTCACTACAATTGTATAAATAACATTTTATTATATTTCTACGTTATTTTTAAACTTCGAATGTCTATTACGTTTTTTTTTTTTGGTACTTTGTTCGGTTTTGATTAAGTTTTTATAGGTTTTATCAAAAACTTAATTTGTATACATCCATTCGATTTTCTCTTTAATCATATACTATAATGCATAGACAAAAATGAAAAAACTAGCACTTGATTTCTACCTAATTAACTTTTAATTCAAATAATTGTGCCCAACAAACACTTAACTTCTTGGAGGCTTGTGTAATTCAATTGACTGTCCTGAAGCGTACGTCACACGAAAAGGGAATTCCTAGAAAGAAATGTTGTAAGAGGTTTCTTTTAGCCGAAGTCGGTGAAAGTGAAAACATCCGTAAATCAACTACTTTGGTTCTACCTTGACATCTTGACATTGTAATACAGTCGATGCATGAAAGGAACGTTAAATTAAAGCCGTCTGTTTTTACTTAACTATGATTTGTAACAAGGCACGTTGAAAAAAATCGATAATTTATTCGTTATGTTGTGATTGTCAAAAGTTGTTTAAAGTGATAGAAGAATATATCTGCAAAAATAAATATGTCGAGAAAATGTAACATATATAACATAATTTCAATAAATCTAAATCTTGTCTCTTGGAGACCAGTTCAGTAAACGTCATTCTTTAAACGTTGCTTTATAAGTATTTTAATTAATATAACTACCATCACTTGCCCTCTAGTAGCAGCTTCATATCATATTTAACAAAGTTACTGTCAAGGCCTAATTCAAATACAGTTTCTAAACACAATAAATTTCCATATGACTTCTAAAACGGATTGGAAAGTGAATGATATAATAACATACGACCCTCCGAGGTCGATGACCTGTCCTAAAGTGTGTCCCAACAAATGTAATGTCAAAAAACAAACCAAGTTCAGATATTATTGCGAATCAATACCAGGTACTTAAGCTTAATTATTGCTACATCAATATATTTTTTATTTATTAGATTTAAGATGTACAGTGGCGGATATACAATGTGTCAAATTATGTCGACCTCGTTATTATTTTTGGCGATACACAATCGGTTACCAAGCAATATCAACTAAATAAAAAACAATTAAATATCGCGTGTACTAGTTTTGTATATTCTTATCAAACTCGAACCTATAACAAAATATTTTAATTAAATTTGCTTCTAAATAATATATTATATACATATATGTAATAACATAAAAATATTAGATTATATGCTGAAGTTCATTGTTTGAAAATTTGAAATCAAGTAGGTAGCTAGAAGTGATAGTTTTTTATTTTTACCTCATACATACACAAGTCAAAATTTCCTTCAAAACGATTTACCGCTTATTTAATAAATAGCACTTGAAGAAACTATTATCAAGATATGATCATCATTCAAAGAAAAAATACCACCTAAAGAACGTACTAACAGTAAAAATAAACTCAAGAACAATTCCTGTGATACAGGACACAGAGAAACTCCAAAAATACAGATCAAAACTGATATTTAGTAAATTTATTAGCAAAGATAACAATGATTGATGACGTTATTCGATTTATAATACCATTGACGTCACTCATCATTTTGGGCAGGCGAATTTGACACCCTGCAAACCGAAGAATTTTAACGAAAGCGAAGCATTTCTCTTATTAATTTCAATACTATCAACTGTAAAAGTTTTTATGGCTATTTTTGAAACACCTCATATCATGCTTGGTAATTTCCGTTATAAAACCGAAGGAATAATTAGGAAAAATTTACCTTAATTTAAATAACTCGTATGCAGTGATTGTATCTCTTCTACATATTTAAATGGGTACACTAACGTCATCATCAACAACAAATATTATCTTAGAAAGTGGCAAGCTGGATTTGGTGAAAGAATAAAATTTCTTGTGGAACATATAGATATATCAAAGAGAAAACATTTTTTATGTAATGACTGGCAAGGTCCATTATTCACAAATATTGTTGCTTATCAGCCCGTAA